CGCTATGCAAGCATGTCATGCAAGTAAGGCATTGGGCGCTGCGGCCGCTTCTTTCCTTGCCCTATCAAAAGCCCGCCGCAACGAGTCCGGCACAGCATTATTTGAGGTGACAAGGGAGCCACGCGACGAGACTTCCGTCTACGCTACTGATCCACGTCAGAAGTGTAGTTGCCAGAAGGACCGAAAGAATATGTCCTATGAGGGGCTTTCGCTGTCTACTGCCCCTGAAATCTGGAACTTGTTCCTTATTCCTGGTAAAGGTACTCGTGGAAAGGAGACAAGCCGGTTCTTGTCCTGACAGGGCTGCTACGCGAACATAACCGTTGTCGGGCGTGGAGTTCTGCCACTGCTGCGGTCTGTGAATAATCTCCGTCGTGTACCATACTTGGCTAGAATGGCTATTGTGTTTAGTCGCAAAGTAAGATCGCTGGGATCTTTTGGATTGGCATGCAAAAGACTTCCTTCGTTATTAGGAATATTCGGGGATCGCTTCTTGTGCTTTGTGTGTGCTGGGAGGTCAGATTAGTGGAAAACGGGGCCGATCTACCTACCTGGTTCTCCCAAGTTGGCGATTGGAGGAAGGGTTCAGGTCCCAATACTCCAAATACATCAAGCCCATGAGAATTGCACCCCAGATCACATGAGCAAACCAATCCCAAGCCAGGAACACAAGGTTACACAAGTGGCGCCTTCTCCTTGCATGTTTCATCTACCGTGGGCTAATCCAGCCGTCCAAGGAAGATGTCGTGGTTTCTAGCCAGGCTACCACGCGAAAACTTGCCGAGAATGCTTCCCTAGCTGACTTCTGCGGCTTCTGCCCAGGCTACCGTCGCCACTGCTGCGGCTTTGGTCTGATGATTGCGCCATCCCCCGTTCTCGAGGGACCAAACACTGCGGGTTATGCTTAATCTCCGCCTTAATTGTTTCAAGCGCACAAGGGGAAGAATCCAATGGGGTCCAAGATCTCCACAAGCTTTACAACGTCCGGGCCAGCCCCAGCCCAAGCCCACTCAACTGCCGCATGCGGTAAGTGAAGGAATGTTCAGCATGTTTCCCACGTGCTGAGTGACCACAAGGTTGGTTGCTGGAAACACGGCTGCGCTACCCCCACGTAGGATAGTATGCAAGCGCAAAATCTTTCCTACTTAGTCACCGAGACGTGTTCTATATGTAGCTAGTACAGTGCAGAGATCTCTAGCACGCGAAGATGAGACGTGGTTCAGGTCCCGGAACCCCGAAGGACTCGTAATCGAAGAGCACAAAAATACATCCTGCTCGTGGATTGTAACGCAAGGCAAGCCGATGACCTTGCACAAAATCCCGCATGACTTGTGTGAGAGAGGACCCCCAAGGCGGCCAGGCAGCAGCCCACCTTGCTCATTCCATGTCATAATTGTTGCTCAGTTGAGGCTTTGTGTAAGAAGAAGGGCGTAAGAGCCTCATCTTCTGGACATGTCTGTAATACCATGACAGCAACTTAAACGGCTTCTTGTGGAAGGGTGTATGTATTTCGGACGAAAGTGGTTGAACGCTACGCTACGACCGGTAAACATCAACATGGCCGTCTATTTTAAGGACGGCGCTAATACTGTAAGCGCTAACCGAGAAGATTGGCGTCTCCTCGCTAGTACCCGCAGATCTTATCGTATGCCCTAACCATATCGTGCCTCGTGTCATCCAACCCACTTCTTGACCCAAACAAAAATATATTGTATTATATTCGGATTTACGAATAATCACAAGATCAATGGCACCGGAGAGTCCGGATATATCGAGTCTCTCGGATTTCTCTCGTAGTCATACGATCCCTTGCTTTTGCATCATTCCCGGACGTGTGAGATGGAAAGCCTCCATATTTTCTTCACCGCAAAATCCCCGAGTACTTTGTACTGAAAGGCAACGTTACTAGACTTGGCTGTGGTTGAAGAAGAAGAGCGCTTGAAACCCGAGGTTCCCGTCAAAGGCGCGCCGCGTCTATTCATCGAATCAGAAGTGCTATCCTCGCCGATATGCTTAAAGATTGAGTTGACGACCAGCAAACTGGCTGGGCTGAACGGAAGTACCGGGCGGCAGTTTCAAAAGCGAAAACGTTGAATTCTTGGCAAAGAACCCGGACGGGGACGGCATCGGGGTCGCTGGCTGGCTGGCTGATGTGGGATGGCTAAAAATGTGTGTGTCCTTGTGATGAGGGGTCAAATCGGAATACAACTTCACGATTGAGAGGATTACATTTCGACGTCATGACATTATTTGCGCAGATTAGAGTGGAGGTGCTTTGCTCTACAATTGCGGTAGCCAATGCAAGATAATGCCGTGTTGACTCACTTTGAGAGAAAATACATCGACGGAGAATAGTGATCTTGATTACGAAGCACCTATTCCTAGGCAGACGGCCCCAGAAAGGCTATGTAAGGAACATGGAATGGGCAAGATTCAACTGCATCTGTATATCAAATACGGGATATGTCCTGAGGTAGCAAAGAGTCATTCGGCGACAGTCCAATGCAATGCAATGCAGTGTAATGTAATGCGGTGCTCCTCCATCTCGAGTCTGAATAATGTCTGACTACTCGAGTACTCACTCACCCCCACCCCAAAGAACAATTCTAGAAGATTGCACCCGTGTGTGGTGCAACGTACGACCAGTTCGCGGGTAATCACTCCAAGTTCCCTGTCACGCATCAGCTTACAGAGATACACACAAGTTTGACCCCCAGCCACACCCCTCCGAATGATGGCCAATCACCATCCCTGAAAAGCGAATGCGGTTATTTATATCCCAGCTATCTCGTGGCTTTTCCAGGCGAGGATGGTATTTTGGGGTCCGACGAAACTAATTGCGGGTTCTCTATTTCAGCCCTACAACCTCTTTCAGAACTCCTATTGGCTCTACCCCCTATCCCAATGGAAATTGGTGCCATGGGTATCACGGCCATAGGTTCGGGGAAGTAGAAGCCATCCTACTCCTAATAGCCCTTTGTCAATTCTAACGGCCCATTGGACGGCCCCCGAGACCTTGGAGCGAAGCGCAGGGACAAGGCCACTGCAAAATGCAAAACAAGAGAGATCGTTGGGTCGATGCAACACGATGTCAATTTGAAGCTGCCTGTTGTCGGCCCAGTACTCGGTGGTATCAATGCAGGTACGAGAGCCAGAGGCACGATGGGATGCGCAGCAGCTTGCATTCCACCGCATTTGCAAGGAGTTTTCGCATGGGTGTTGGCAACACAAGAAAACCATCATGCAGGGCACAAAAGGACCTTGCCAATTTTCTTCCCAATCTGAGGGGTAACCATCGCTCTCCTGCGTGCAGCTGTGGAAAGTCGGCGACTTCTAAGGGAATATGCAAGAGCGCATGCAGGCACACAACTTGTGCATGCATCTATGCTTAGAATCTTTTTTCTTTCTCTCTCTCTCTCTGGAATTCTAGGTACAGTACACTCACTACACCCACCCACCCACACACCATAAACCACAAGGCCCTAGTATGGCCTTGCTTACATGACGCTGATGACTGTTCCTGCTCTCAGCCTTCTTCCTAAACAACCTACCGTACCGTACTTCGACACCAGTGCTGTGTTTGGGTTAAGAAGAAGAAAAGAAGAAAAAACAGCCCAGGCAGCCCCCACTGCAGTCATCTTGCATACCTGACATTTCAGTTCGAGTCCGACCGACTCATACGCTGCTGCTGCTGGCATGGCAGCCAGCCAGCAAGCACACCAAGCCTCAATCCCCGTCCAAGGGGACAAAAAATCTATATAAGAGGGAGGTTTGTAGGATTTCTTTTTTCTCATCATCAATTACCATCAGTTTCAAGCTTTCACTTCCACGCCTGTTCTATTTAGTTGCCTTGTCTTCGTATCAGTACCTCTTGTGCCGCACTCGTCCTTCAGCCCGTATACCCCAATCCATCTGTACCACAAGCAGCACAGCTTTTACGTTTATATAAAATACCACATCCTCCCTACCTGGTTCTCTCGATATCACAGACATTCTTCTTCATCCAACAAAAAGTTATCACTATAACCAGATTTTGTTCACTCTTTGCTTCATCTACAATACATACTTATACACCAACACCAACAACCAACACACTACCTCAACACCACCCCACATTCCCACAATGGCAGCTTCAACTTCCACCTCCACCTCCACCCACCAACCCACACTCTTCGGCCGCGGCGGCTACAACGGCCCCGCCGCATCCTCCGAAGACGACGACGACAATGCCACGTGCGGCGCACCCCTGAACTTCGGACGCGGAGGCTACAATCGTGGCGGAGACGATGACGACGAGGAAGACGGACGCGGCGGCTACAATTAAACCGCATCGCATCAACCGCTCCCGGTCCAAAGAAACTCCCGATTCCCAAATCCAATTCAACAAAGGGACCGGTTCCGATTCAACAGCCAACCGCCAATTTCCATTCATCCTTCTATCCATCTCATCGTTTTCCATTCCAGCGGCATTTTCTTGCGTGCATGCATCTTCTTCCTCGCGGCATTTCAGCACTTGTACCAACACTATACTATACAACAAAAAGACGCATCAGTGGTCGCAAGACCCATTCATAGCATATCCCATTCATTTTATCCTTCTGTCAGTCCAGCAAAGGAGCGAGCGATTCAGCCAGCATATTTTCGGCGTTCAAAGAGGGAATAGAAGCATTAGATCCAGGAGTTTTTCCTTTTGACCAGACCAGACCAGACTAGCATTTACAACATTTTTTCGTTTGTTTCGGAGTATAGAATGGGGAAGGAAGGAAGACTTTGGGGAAATTGATATTGATATTCGCATCATGGGTGTTCTTGGGAGGATACCTTAGAAAAAGGGGAGAAAGCATTGGGCATTGGAATGGCGAAATGAAACGAACGAACGAACACTTTTGTATAACATTGGCTGCATTTGAAGGGGTGTTGGGTATTAGATCTCCTATTCTTTATTGTAATTCTTTCCTCATTGGAGCAATTCAATATTCTTTGCGCAATATCTGTCTGTCTTATTTGCCTACGCAGAATCTGGTGGTTGTGTTAGTGAATTTGATATTGGTGGGTGGAGAGGGATATCGATGACTTACTTCTCGAAGACTACGCCAAGCACTTCCTCCACGTCGCCAGCTGTGCCTTTTCCTGTTATGCGGGATAGACAGTCTGCAGCAGATCGTAGATGCTCTGCCGCGAGAACGATGTCGCATTCATTGTCGGATGATATGGAGGCTTCAGATGTGAAGTCTCGGAGGTGAGAGGCGCAGGCGGAGAGAAGCTGTCTTTGTCGTTCCGTTACGCCAAGAAGATCTTCGAGGTCAGGTGGAAGATTTGTCATATCCTTGAACAGAGAGACGAGTTGATTAGTAAAATGATCTACGTTGCCTGGATCTCGAGTCGTTGGCCTTGTCTGCGCGTCTCGGCAGGAGACCGAAATCAAAGGGACGGCTTTGCCCGAGAAATACGCCGAAGCAGTAAGTTTGAAGCTCGAAAGCAGATCTGATAGCGTCTCTGAAGATACGGTATCGCACTTATTTACCACAAGAAGGGCCTGTTGGGCCCTGGCCGCTATCGAGAGCGTTTCAGCATCATATCGAATTTCCCAGCCTTGCAGGGAAGACGACGACTCAATCGAAGCAAGGGCAACGATCACATCAGATTCGCTTGCCTTCGCCTTGGCCCGTCTGATGCCCTCTTGTTCGATGGCTCCAATCACTGGATTCGCCTCTTGTGCTGATGGTGTTGTCGATGCCGTTCTCAGTCCCGCCGTGTCAGCGAAGGTGCACAGGTAACCCCGGACATCAAGATTGACCTCCACAATATCCCTCGTAGTCCCTGCTTCCTGACTAACTATCGAGGCTTCTCGCCCGACGATTTGGTTGAGCAGTGAACTCTTGCCCGCGTTGGGGGGTCCAAGGAGCGAAATACGGATGCCTCTCTTCAACAATTCGCCGCGATGACTAGCAGATACATGAGAAGCGATAGAGCCTAGCATAACATTGACTTGGGCTGTGACATTAGATAGGAGCTCTGCGGGCGACTCGTCAAAATGCTGATCCTCTGAGAAATCAATCAATGCCTCCATCTCGCCTCGCGCATACAATAGCTGCTGACGCCAGGCCTCATACGTGCGACCCAGGTTGCCGGAATTGCCTCGCACAGCAGCACGCCGCTGCTGCTCAGTTTCTGCTGACAAGGTATCGCTCAGTGCCTCTACTTGCGCCAAGTCCAATCTGTTGTTCTGAAATGCTCTCCTTGTAAACTCGCCGGGTTCTGCATAACGGATTGTATTCCTTGAAGCACATCGTGGAATAGCGGATAATACCGCTTTCACAGTTGCTGGTCCTCCATGTATGTGCAGTTCCAATACCTCTTCGCCTGTAACGGTGTTTGGCGCAGGGAAATAAAGGACCAATGCGTCAGAGTCGAGGACGTTGGACGCCGACGTGGAGATGAGGGGATCGTGCAGCGTTCTGAGGGTCGCATGTCGAGGTTTTGGGGGTGGCTTGGAGGGGCAGAGGGTGTCATATATCTGAAATAGCTGTTAGGCGCTTCGCTCAAATTGATGTTGGAATTTCACGAGTGTACCTTGAGGCAGGAAGGTCCTGAGATGCGAACAATGGCTATGCCAGCTCGGCCTGGGGCTGTAGAGAGCGCATATATAGTATCAGGCTCAAAATCGAGAGTCGATTTGGTAGAGTCATGGTAATAGGTCCGTAGTGATGGTAGGCAGGGTGTTGGTTGAATGGTGGGCTTGTGCCATTGTTGGGGCCAATTCAAGGCGGGAGACTTGCTGAATTTGCGGCAGGCATGGTCTCTCCGGAGACATACATAGCGAGTGTATAATGTGGCTCTTGGTAAGCCATTCCGAATCATTTGCTCGAGTTGCGCTTCGGAATTCGATGCTTCAAGACTTACAAATTTCCCCCATGATTTCCAATGCCTCGCGAAGCACGTGATCAAAGATCATTGATCAACTTCTGAGCGAAGCAACGAGACTTTGTTTTGCAAGAACCAAACCATATGAAATGTTCAAGTGGCATTGCTCTATCACAACGAAACTTGTAGCCTAAGTAGCGAAGAGATTGCTAAATTCTCAAGTGAAAACGAACGCATAGCGGAATTTGCTCTCTCATATGTCTCTTCGATGAATACCCCCCAACGTCCGGTGGTTTATCAATCAGCTTTCTCTTTGACTAAAGCACATATACATCTCGCAGACATAGCCTCTTGTCCGCCCTTCGTTCATTGCTGTCATTGGTTCCGCTGAATATTCCAACACGGCTGGCCATCAATCTCTGCGATAGGCTGAGAAACCAAACTGGTCAGAGCCAGCAGTGAGCGTCTGGTTCCCGCGTTAGAAATGCACTTGGAATAGGCTGTAAAGCCAAGGCTGCTGGATTTTTCTCTCACAGTGTGTTGTTTTTCGGTTGGCGTGATCTTATCTCCAAAGTTTATATGACTCGATTCATGGGCGATAGCTTGCCCGATCGAGTCTTGAAGAGACGTTTGTTGGTGTTATTATTCACAACAGAAAGCCGTTGGAACCAGAATAACAGTCATGGAAGAAGATTTCGAGCTCTTTGAATCATTTAGAATTCAATTTCACTTTGAAGTGCAGCACAAAGCCGTAGTGTGCGGCAACTTCCTTCCTTCCCCCCTTTATTTTATGACAAGTAAGCGACCTAAAGGCAAGCGGGATACACAACCAAATTATTCGCTTCCTCCACAAAGACATTGTTTGTTCTGTTCTCATTTCTGTTATTGTCCTCATGTCATTCCATGACTCCAATTCAATTCTCTTACTGGTTGCCGAATGACTCAATGAGACGCCACGGTTCTTTCCGTGTTCCTTTATAGCCTCGAAGGTTCACCAAATTTATCTTACAGAAAATAATTAGTCGAATCATTCCCTTCTCGCTGCATGCTTATAATGCCAGACCAGCTTTCTATTCCGTTCCTATTAATTGCGTATTGAATTCGACAGCTGATATTAAGACCACCAAAAAGCCAAATTTTCAAGTAAGGGAAGGGGTTTTAGCTTCCTTCTAGATTAGCTCTGCTATATTCATTGCTGCCACGTATCTACTCCTACATCCTCATCACGTCAAACCCCGCAGCAAGAAAAAGAAAAGCCGTGATGCAGTTGGTAGTAAAGCGTTGGAAGCTTTGACTGTGGAGCGGAAAATTGGCGGGGGTGGAGAGTACAAGCAGGGAAGCTGGGAAGTGAGGATGAGGAAGTTCGTAGCTGTTGTGGGGATTGGGGAGACTGAGGACTGGTATGCAGCCCATTGACGAGTTGCAGGCGAGAGGAAAGAGCTGCTGTGGTGAGATGTTAGGATTGGTAGGAGTGAGTGAGTAGGAAAGGGAGAATCGTGGTAGTAAAAGCCTCTGGGGGTTATTAGGAGGATACGGCGTTTCGCAAGGGCGAGTGCATTTATGCCGCTGGATAGAGGAGTAAGACTTAATTACAATCCACTTTCCCGTTCTTGGAGGAATATAGTTTCCAGGCAAAGTACAAGGCCCCGTGATGGGGTCTATGTGGACAGCATGCTGGGTGTAACGCTGGTTCCTGCGACGGTTATCCGTGGAAGAGGTCGGCACGGATTAACGAGCAAGACACATTACATGTGGTACGCTGAGCATGAGCATTGGCTTCTCATCAGGTGTAGTTGAAGATAGGTTGTATATAATGCTGTATAAGATTAAGGAAGATGAGGTGACGAAGATGTTACTTGGTGTCTAGGAGATTCGAGCAACATTGATATGGCAGAACGTGACATTGAGTAACTAGCTAGATAGTATAGGAAATGGCAAAGGCTGAACTTTCAGAAGTCACAACATTTCGGTAGAACATCAAGGTGGGAAGAGGAGCAGAAACGTGTCAGGTCAAGTTCACGCAGAGGGTCGAAGAAGAGCCTTGAATTAAGCATAAATTTCCACATTATTAGCGCTAGGGCCAGAGCCTGCTCTTACAATCCCGTGCTCGACGCCGTACGCCAATAATGCCCCAGACCGACATGATAAGCGTCCTAGCTCCAAACAATGCACAATATCTACATATGCAGATCTGAAAAGCCCCAAAACTAGCGCCTCGAAACACTCCTTCACTAATAGCCGGATTGGTTGCTCCGGTACCCAGCAGGAGTCCTGCCAGCTCTTGGCCCCGAAGGTAGTCCTTGCCTTGCACCTGCGCCCTGTCCAGAAGCTTGATAAGCTTCAGGCGTGAATCCATTGTCGCCGCTAAGCCATGGTGCGTTGGCCGATGTAACCGGCTGACTGGATGCACCGCTTCTTGGTGAGTCGCGTGATGAATAGCTATCTTCATTGCCTCCACGGGATATAGAGTCGTAGCTACCTTGTCGTCCCTGTTCCGCAGGTCGAGTGAAAGGTGAGACTGATCGCTTAGGATTCATCCTGGCTTTCATTTTGTCCTTAGTACTCAGAGGGGCGTCTGGAATACTCGGAGCGGAGTCTTGATAGCTATGGGCATTTTGATAGCTACGGGCGTTTTGACTTGGTAATAGACGTGAGTTTACTGTAGCGGTGGGGGTCGCAGAGGCGGCTTGTCTCTGCGTGCCCAGGGCTGGACGTCTCTTAGGTTGTGCTTGCGATTGTGCTTGAGGCTGGGTGCCCCAGAGACTGCTCAGTTGACCACTTTGCCCTGGGGCCCCTTGCTGTTGGCTTGACAGCCCCCCATATCCTGCACCGACGTTGCTCATCACCAGCGCAGGTTGTTGAGGGGGTGGTGCTTTCGGATCAGGAGGAAGCCAGCCGGGGTATGGTTGTCTCTTGTCGTCGTAGTAGTTTCGCAGAACTCGACAGATATGTGTGTCATCTTCCGTATCGCCATCGTGTTCAGTCGCTAGTAGAGTGTTTTTGACGGAGGCGAATCGCGAAGTGGTGCTGGTGAGGAGTGTAGAGAAACTCTGCATGTAACTCATCGTGGAGGCGGGCGACGCTCACAGGAGGTGATTGTGCTGTCGCGCGAAAGTTTGTAAGGCTCGTGAGGTAACGGAATTTGTTGATAATGAGGTGAGGTAGTTGCAGAGGAGATTGGACGGGGCGTTGTCGTTGCAATGTGTATTTGTATATGTATGTGGTTGAAAAGGGAGAGTTTATGCGGTCAAGCAGTGGAAACAAACATGTTTCACGGTCGTGAGATGTTCCGACCCCGCCATGGCACGACTACTAGCAAAGGAATAGCTATAAATAGCTATAAGAACTTATGCACTTTGTTGGCATTGTTACCTTTGTTAATGTTGTTGGATTATGTTTAATACTATATTACTCTTCTTCGACACAGTCACAGTTCAGATTTGTCTATTTATGTTAAGTCTTAGTATTGTATCTAGCTAAGCAAATCACTACAAACCACGTTAGTCTTGTGCTCCAATGCCTTCTTCTTTTTTTTGGAAAATCCTACTCCGATCCAGTAGAATCAGAGAAATGCAATGATATCTAACCATATCTCCCTCTGTCTATCTCTAAGCCGGTGCCAAGTGTCGTGCAGCAGCCTCGGTCTCTTCCTCGTACTCGACTTCCATTCTCGGGTACTTCTTTGGTTTCGCCTTGGAGACTGGGCCTTTCTTCCTCTTCCCACCCACCGTGGGCTTCTTCACCTCATCGCCATCGCCATCGCTGCTTCCGCTCTCACTATTCTCCTCACCCTCGCTATCACTGGCAGGTTCTTCGCTATCACTTCCTAGCCAGTCCTCCAAATCTCCCAGATCCTCTTCATCCTCGCCCAAATCACTGACATACTCAACACCGCCGACACCTTCTTCGTCCTCGTATGCCTCTTCGTTTTCGTCTTCTAGTTCTTCCTCGATCCCCTCGTCCAAATCCTCATCTCTGGTACCTTCACCACCTCTCTCCAAACCTTTCAGAACCTTCTTCCAGATGACTTCGCTCACATTCAGCGGTTGATCGCCATACGCCCCACTTCTTAAACGCTCAATCAGCTCTCTTTCGATAGCCCGTTCCACCTTCGCCGCAGCCTCTGCTTTTCTCTCTCTCGTCTCCTCCCTCCTCCTGACCTTTGGCGCCATCTTAGGCACAAGCTTCTCTCCTAACCTCTCATCCTCCCTAGCAATTCGTCTCATTCTTATCCCGACTTGTGTCAACCGCGTAAGTCTTTGCTTGCATTTGTGAATAAGGAACTTCGGCCAGTACTTCAATCGCTCATCCACTTGCTCCAGGGCCTTGGCATAGTTCTGCGACAGCTTTATCCGTTCCCATAACTTCGCAGGTGTATGCGCGCGCTCGATTGTCTTCATGTAGAGGTAAAGTGTTCCACTGTCGGGATGTGCGCGAACGGTAGCATAGCGGGAGTTTGCGAGAGGGCATGATTGTCTGTTGCAGAGGCCGGTGACATTGTATTCATTGCGACAGAAATTCTTCTCTTTCGTGGTCCTGTATACTGTTAGACTGTGTGGGGAATATGTGCGCAGAGAACGAACTTCAGCTTGAACGAGCAAAACTGCTGGTTTATGACCTGCCAAACAATCTCGTCGGACGACATGGTAAGATTGGCAGTCAGACCAGAATGCGTTCAATGCGGAAGGAAAGCGATTCAACGTCGTCAAATCAGTGGTGGGTTGTGGTTCCTAGAGGGAATATTTATTTTCGCAAACTCCAAGTTTGATGGGGAACTTTTTTCTCTGGCAGAATGGCGAATCGCGTCTAGTCTTAATCACGTGACTGAGCTTCCTCACCGCCTCAGCCAACTTCTAACACCTGCAATTCTACTGGTCTGGTATCCGTCTCTTGTCCTAATAAAACATCAAACACAACTACCTCTTACCTATGCATTCCATTAAGGCATGACCTACACTACCTAACAAGTCTTCGTTGCCCCATCCACAAACACAGGCTCATATAAGCTTAGTGGCCTTCAAAACGAATGTCTAGGAGAGGGCACCTGTGGTGAAAGCAACCCAACTGACCTTTTGGACTTCATGTATACATACGGGGGGCGTTTCATTCCATCGCCATTCCTGTGTTAAGCGCAATTCTGCCCTGTGCCTAAAGTCTCATCCGCAGCAAGGCTGTGTACAGGGCCAACCGCCAGAAGCCTAATGCACAATGCAGGGCCGCGCCGATTGTGGGTACGAGGACTATCGTATATGAGCCAGTTGGCTCCGGTATTACATTTGAAGCTTTCTAGTGAGATGCGGTACCTTTTGACTTCTCTTTCGAATTAGGACTGGTCACTTCTAAATTCCACAATCTCGGATTCTGAAACTTTGCGGCACCTCATCCATATTCTCAGCACCATGGCGAGCGAACGACAATCAATCATCCCATGCTTCTACGAGAAGCTTCCGACTTATGTCATTAAGCGGCCTCTCGGCCCGTTGACATCTCTAGCAAAGAAGATCAAGTTGGGAATAGCTGGGGAAGACATGGTGTGTCTAGATGGCCATAGCAAGCATGGTCTGGACACATCAGATACGCAAATGAATGAATTCGACAACTCCGAAGACGACAATCATATGTGTCTCTCAAATGAGATAAGGAACATTGTCAAAAAACCACAGCGGCTCCCTCGTCGAGGTAGGTTGAAGAGCCAGAAGTGATATTGAGAATTCCCAAATTACCTGCAAACCATGACTTGGCACAAGCCCAATTATCTCTTATGAAGCTAATACTAATTTCTGTCTTTGAAGATGTATTCTCTGTGCCATATTGGCAAAAATTCAAAGTTTGTAGGTCGCAAAGATGTCCTCCATGAAATTCGAAGCCGTAAGACATTCCAGCCAGGCCACCAAACAAGACTTGCTCTATGGGGCCTAGGCGGCATAGGAAAAACGTAGATCGCAACTGACTATACCTATTCCATTCGAGATTCTTCCGGAAACGATGGTGCTTCCATTTTCTATTTGAGAGCGGCAAACTGGGAACGCTTTACTGAGTCTTACATTGATCTCGCTACCAAGGCTGGCATAAAACTTCTGGAAAATCCAGTCAATGATCGATTGCGGATGATTGCCGACTGGCCAATGGTCGCTGGCTTATGATTCTCGATACTCGTAATGCCAATGATATCGATTTATTCCAGCTCGGTTTAGGGTTGTCTTAATACATAACTCAGTGTGACCAGTCCGTATTATTGACAAGTTAACTTTGGAAGATTGTCGAGTATTGATCAAGAAGCATCTTCCCAAGCAACCTCTTGACAGTTCAGTTGATGAATTAATTGTCAAACTTGACTATCACCCTCTCGCGCTGACTCAAGCGACAGCCTACATACAGAAAAACTTTATTTCCACTGGAAGAGACCTTCAATTGTATAACGAACATGAAACTTCCTGGGGCGCTGATGATGATGCAGGGATTGGGGAGCAAGCTAGTCAAGAAACAGTCGTTGCTACCTGGATTATGTCCTTCAAAATTATCGAGAGAAAAGCATTAAAACAGCTGGTCTGCTCTCTTTCATGTGCTTCTTTGATCGTCAATACCTCTTGACCTGAGAGTTGTTCCCCAGAAAGCGAAATGTTCCTAAGCCTGAGCGTGGCACATCAAAAAAAAAAAACGTAGAGTTTTGGCAGACAGATGCGAAAGAACTTGCGTTAGAAGCAATGCAAGCAGCAGAAGGTGTCTTCGGTAGTTCTGCTAAGATCACACTTCGAGCACTGGCCGCCGTGGCCAGATCATACAGCAATATGTCGACCAACCTAGTTGAAGCAGAAGAAATGCATTTCGAAACAACCTACGGCTATAGGCAACTTTACGGAGTAAACAACATCGAATTTTAGCAAAGCGTGGGGTTTCTGGGCGATTTTCACCAGAGACATGGTCGAGCCAAAGATGCTGTTTATCTCTTTGAGAATAGTCTTGAGCGGACTAAAGATCTGTGTGAGCCGGACAGCAACGAGGCCAATCGTTTCAAGGACGTTCTGGGATTCGCGCACCAAACTGCAGGTGACTATACTCAGGCTGTTAAGTTTTTAAAGAGGCTGTGGAATGATACCAACTAAATTATGGGGACGATGATACCAGCACGATGTTCGCTAGAAACGATCTCTCAAAAGTATACGTCAGCCTTGGAAGTATAAGGATGCCCATAGACTGGGACTCGAATTGTATGAGACAACAAACAGACTTTTTGGTCTCAACTAATATACAATTTCATGCTGGAAAGTACGTGGTGGCTTGTCGAGAGTTACCGGGCTGTTTGGCAGTAGGACGCAGCCAGAAATCTGTGCGATGAATTGTATTTGAAATGTAAGAAGGCATATGGCGAAGACTTCTGCCGAATAAAGGTTGGTTTAAAGGTAGCAAAAGAGCTCCATTTTACAAACGCGAAACCGTTGTGCCCAGAGGTCATGGAATACGAAGCGGGAGTCAAGAAAGAGATGGGTGATGACTGGGTAGGAGTACACCAATTCAACCAAAAACTTACCCTTGAAATAGCAGAACAAGATATCTTGAATGACTAGTGGTTTTGATACCTCTTTATAGCTGTATCAAGGACCAAAACATAAAGGGCGCTTCAATGTTAACGTTCCAGCCTCCCACCTGATAGTCTTCCTCTAACAATCGAGCACCAATCAAGCTTTCTTCGGAACATCTTCTCCAAACGGCCAACCTTTCTCACTCCAACTCCCTTCACCCTTCTCCCACATGCCCACACTTTCAACCTCCTCACTCCCCAATCTCAACGTGCCCTTCCCCTCCCCATCCCCCACCTCATAGATATGCGGGAATCCTCCCGCCCGCCCCTCCGTATCCCAACACCCTCCTTTCTCATCCGGCTTCTTCCCGGCCGCCATCTCCCACTTCACCCTACTTTCCACTTTCGCGTAGGGCACGCGCAGGATGTACACGTGTGGTGTGGAGGAGAAGAAGTTGTTTAGCGTGCCGAGGATCTGGTTCGACGCCGACATGTGGATGAATCCATCGCGGGAGTCAAGGTCCGAGAGGGGAAGTGATAGGGGGAGAGGAGATGGTGGTGCAGCAGAGGGAGGCAGGATTTTGTAGATGTATTTTGGGGGTTGGGAGGGGGTGGACATGGTTGTGTGGTTTTGGGTGCTGGGTGGGGCAATTGAGGAGATATGTATAACTAGATCGTGTTAGGCTTGCGATTAAGCCGCAATCTTTATGTTAAGGTAAGAAAGAAGTAAGTGGATTGGACTGGAAAATGGAAAGCAAGTGCGAGTGATGATGAGATCTTAAATGCCTAATAACGGTCATGTGATCAGGCTAGTCAGAAGCACCTGCTCTCGTTCCTCTTCTTCCCAAAGGTTGCGAATGTCAATTCATATTTAGCTATTATTAGAGGCTTGGTATCTAGATGATTTCTGCTGTGTGATACTTATAGGTAGAGGGCGTTGGTACGGAGTAAGTGTTTTGATGTGTATAGATGGCTTTTTAGCTTTTTGGTAGATGTGATTTATAGATTTTAAAGTAATGTGTTTGAAGTTAGATATGTAGATGAAAAGTAGTAAGGACTTACAAAATAGTGTTCTTTAGACAGGTTTATATTTTTGGCATTTTTTCGCTTTTCTTAGTTTTCTACCCTAAGCTAGCACTCATATACAGCTCTCTAGCTTTATATTTTTTATCTTCTTAGCTAATTATAGACTTCTTTCTACTCTAGAGAGCAAAATCTTAGAAAAACATGAAGGTAGAAATGCTGATCATATCTGTGCTAGTTTATTTAAAAGGGATGTCTTTCCCTTCGCTTCCATGTTCTTCCATATCCATGATACCACCATATCCAGCCATCATCTATTATATAAACAACCCCAAAGCTCTAGCAGTATCAAGAATGCAATACAACTATATCACCTGCATGGCCACCCACTCTTCCGCTCTAAGATTCCTATGCCCAGGCCACAACTTCACCCATCCATCAGGCACATCATATTGAAAACTTTTCACAACCTCTTCCTCTGCCCATTTCAAATCCAGTGTCCTAGCCGGGGCAAAAGCATCTACATATGCACTGAAGAACTGATCGCGGCCCACGGCGAAAAGCGGAAAATTCATAGCCAGCAGTGGTTTCCGTTGTCGTGGTGCTGATTGTTGCAGTGAAGTATTTAGACAAACAAGCATATCCCATATCCCTTGCAACCGGTCCTGAGCCTCCCAATCTTTTAAAAAACAATACGGTTTCCATTCTAAACCACTCCAACACTGCACGGTAATGATCTGCAACGCCGGCATTTTTTGCAGCTCATCTGCAATGCATCGGTTATTCACACGCTGAGGGAAAATCTCCAACCATCGGATACCCGCCATTTGCGCTGGGTAGTGGTCGACGAGCGGTTTTAGACACTGGATCGTGAGACATAGTGTATCGAGTGCGCGATTGAAATATATCCCTTCTCCGCTGTCGTCGAGGAAATACAGCGTGTAGGCTTCGTGGAATACCTGGGATGCTTCGCGGGAGACGAGCTGTAGTGCTCCGGAAATCTCGGAGAGGGATGGATCGCTGGAATGGCGCACGAGAGGGATGCGGCGGGGGAGGAAGGTTTGTTGGTAGATTTTTATACGGAGTTCTGGGGGGAGGGATGCGAAAGTTTTAAATTGAGGTTGATCTAGTGAACTGAGGATAATGTGTTCGTCTTTTATAGGGTCTGCCATTGTCGAGCATGAGATGAGATGATAAATGAAGGATGTAGCAGAGGTTCCTTGTGATAAGGACTTGGATGACTGTAGTGGTTTTAAAGAGAATTTCCACGCCGAGTCTTATTATAGGAAGGTATCTGAACAGCGGCACAGGTACGGTAGTGCTCAGATAACTCACGCTATGATGCAAAATGAGGCTGTGCTATTTACTCAACAAGAGTGCAATGGGTATTGCACCGCGGCTGTGTCTTAATGTTGACTTGAGATGTTACTTCGTATACTTGAGGTTGAAGTGTGGCGCTGAGAAAGGGGCTTAGGCGTGCGACGCTAACCCGAATCTAGCTAAAGCCTTACACGTAACATAAGAGGCCACCGCCACTCATCGGTGCTTCTTTCAGCCTCTTCCCTTGTGTACAGCTCTTCTCTTACACCTGCGTCTTGAGGTTTCTCTCGTCTCTTACTTCAGCCGATGATTCCGTTGAACAGTGGTTACGGTGAGCCAAGTGTTTCGGAGAAGAATGCTTGATTAGCAATAATCGCCGCCGACAACAAGCACCACTCACTCCACTACCCCACCATCTGCCACGAAGCACTGCACTTCCTTAGGTGCCTCGTCCCCTTCTCTTTCCATCTAAACTTTACCTCAACATCTGTCAATACGACAGCTTGTCTAAGTTCCCTTGCACAACTACATTTGTTGGCCAGATATCGTCGGAACCCACTCAATGGATTCAACAGATGAAGTTTCGGAGATTAGCAGTAATAGGTTCACAATCTTCCCAAGATTGCCTGCTGAACTTCGTGCAAAAGTCTGGCAGGCAGCCATTACACCCCGAGTCATCAGATGCCAACGGACGAATGACGAGAACCTGTTCACTGCTCCACCGAAATCAGTTACCCTGTTCGAGGTCAGCCGGGAATCACGAAATATAGCTTTTCTCTATGGCGGGTTTATTTTACTTAGCACGACTCCTTGCTATATTTACTTTAGTCCGAAGATTGACTACCTTCTATTCGACGTTGGGTGGAAGTCATTAGCAGATCCTCCTCAGTACCCTCGGCTCAATGCCGCTCTAGCAGCTCCAGCAACGCCACCAAAAGTTCCCCAGGACTTCATCGTGTCGCTTGAAGCGATTGATCCAGCTCTCAAAATGCTCAGGAATATTATGGTGCATCCCAATTGGAACGATCAACGGATGATGCCAACTGTTCCACTTGCTCGATTGCCGTATTTAGAAAGGGTTCTGGTGGCGAGCGATGAAAAGTCCATTGGGTTGCGGAGCGAGGTCATGTTCTCGACTGTGCATGATATCAAGATGTACTATGGTATAACCAGGAAGACAGCACCCGAGGTTACCACTCCCAGAATTGCCGTTGGGTGTCTCGGTTGGACCGGGAAAGATCGATGGACCATGCATCATGGGAGACATGATAATCGACAACTCGTAGCTGTCTTCCAAGATTACGCAGCGATGAAGGAGCACCAAAGATTGCTACAGGAGGAAGAGAAGAGGTTTACCGAAGAACGATTCGGCCCCCGAACACCTAGCTTCATGGTGAAGCTACGACAGGCGCGAGAAGCCCATAGCACTGAACCGAAACCCATCTCAATATTGCCGGATATTAAGAGTCTTCAAAAACCACCAACTTATGAGGAGGCTACTTCTGCAGACACACCTTTGAAAGAATGAATAGTGGAAGACTCAGATGGGATAGTAAATCATGGACCGAGCAGGCTGGTGACGTTGATGTTGCGACGTAGTCTTGGAAATCCTCGTCGAGACATCCCCAAAGTCACTGGATACTGGTTGCTGGACACACTGCCATGCACCAATACTCGAAGTTCGCCCAGCCTCGACCGTTTCCTCTGTTGCATGACATATAATTATTGCAATGTGCAACTACCCTAATAAATATTCAACACACCTGAAAACACAATATAAGAACAATAATGATGTTTGACATTATACCTCTTCAACGCTACTTTCTACCAGTCGCCGTCCCCTACCGTCCAATGCCCCCCATCACCATAACCGACATTATCACAGACTTCCCCCGGTTCCTAGGCATCTTTACACGCAATCACCCAACCAGCATAAACGTCATCGAATCCCTAACTCTCCATGAAATTACCCCACTATAATCTCCCAATCATATCTTAATTGTGATGAAAAGCCATGGCTTTCTTCGTTCCTCTACTCCTTATCTTGGAGGAATTGGTTCTGGCTCACGAGCGCCATTCATCGAGTGGTCTATGTGCTGCTACGCCGCGGGAAATTAAAGCGCTTTTCGAGAATGAAGCATCCGTGTTTAGACAAGGGGATGTGCTATACGGTTCCGATGAATGAGTCTGGGCATGGGGGGAAAGGCAGACGATCGTGGGGCTGTTTATTGTAATTTAGGGAGCGATGGATAGATGGGTGTAATTATGGCAAGGATTGATAATACTTTCTGAGTACTTTATTTTCCATGGATTAGGATAGGAAAGAGGCTGCGGTTCGGGGGGATGATGACGAATTATTAGGAAGCCCAGGAAGGTTTTTGGTTGGTGAGGAGGGATTAGGTTATGGGGGTGTAGGGTGAAAGGAAGGAAGGACATCTTTCAATTTGAGCTGGATAACTCGGACTTGGATGTCGAGGTGCGGCGCTGTGGGTTTGGGACGTCTTGTGTGGTAATGGGACAAAGGGACGGGGTTACAGCTGAACCAGTGTAGCTAAAAGTTCGGCCAGTGTAGAGTCACCACTTTCGGTAAGGAGCAGTCAGTATAGAGATTATAGCCACTAGATCTCAGCCGGTGTAGAGAAAGAAAAATATGCTCCGTATATACTATAGTAATAGGACTATATATACTTAGTAGAGTTTATGTATATTAGTATGCTTAGAATATATTAACTCTAAGCACCAGCTAGGGTTATTATTAGGGATAGTAGCTGGCCTAGTATAGCCTATTACACCACCTTACTTGAGCCAGTGTAGAGAATTACAGACATTTATTCGGATATTAATTTCTACACTGGCCGAACTTTTATCTACACTGGTTCAGCTCAGACCCGGACCTATACATCGACACAAGATTATTAAAAACATTCTTGTTAACCCCAAACGGAACCTCCGGCGTCCCAGCCACATCCAGCATACTCAGTGCCCCGACTGTACTCAGCCCATAAATATTTACCGCCCCATTCGTGCCCTCGAGCGACACAATGCTATTCTGGCAGTTCTGCGGCCCCGCAGAACCTGTCGCCGGATCCGTAGAGCACGCCGTGGAGTACGCGGAAAAGAAGCTGTAGTGGTCCGATCCGTAGTCCATGATATTCGACGAGTCGAGGATGCGCAGCCCCCAGGCCATCTCGCAGTTCCCGGTCGTGGACGAGGCGCACGAGGTGGCGAAGTCCGGGTCGTTGAGCTCGGGTACTACGGGGTATGGCATTGAGGAGGCGGAGGGCTGGTAGTAGGGTGTTTCCGTTTGGAGTTGGGCTGCGAATATGTTTTCGGTGTTGGAGAATTGGTATTGGTAAAGGCTGTGATGCTCTACTCCAGTGCCGACACTATTGGATCGTCTAAGTTAGCTTTGCCATCATTTTGAAGTGCCGTGGGAAAAGGGGTGAGAAGAAGGAAATACTAACAGCCAGACAGGTCCATTTGTGCTCTCAATCAAGAGTCCACGTCCAGTGTAGATACTGATTTGGGTGTTGGCTGAACTATCAATATCATGATCTGCGGTCCACAACCACACATTCTCAAGATAAACGCCAGATGCCCCAGTGGTAACATGCATGCTCATATACGCCCCAAGACAAGTGGTGCTAGTCGTTGGGCATTGAGAAGCCTGCAGATTTGACCCGGCGAAGCCACCGATACGCGTGTGAACATCCCAAATCCCGGATCCTGATGAAGCGGCCAAGTTCCACTCGATCAATGTGGCACCCGCTTGGATGCCTTGTGTCGCTACAACCATGTCGGTCCATTGGACTGAGCCTGAGCTGCCACTGGCACCAACTTGGACAACTGGTTGGGGGTTGCTTATATCATTGAAAAAGTCTCCCGAGGACATGATCACGGAATAGGATTCTCCGGCAATCTTGGATCCTGGGGGGATTGTGATTGTGCTTGTGACGAGATAAGTTCCAGCGTCAAAGAAGCAAAGTTGGCCGGCGGAGGCAGCAGTGTTGAGCGCGGACTGGACTGCTGATGTGTCATCTGTCGTACCATCACCCTTTGCCCCGCTACTCATAACGCTGAGGACTTGAGCAGTGGTCAAAGTTTCGAATTGCGGCTTGCTCATTTGATAATAATTGGCGCCATTCAATAAAGACGAGGGTCTCGTGTTTGGTGTGATAGATCCCTGAAATGCCGTCGGTCCAGATGGGCTGTATTCATGTCCTTGTCCCCAGCCTGCAATTGTCGTACTCCCGCCTGCCAAGAGACTTCCACTTGGCCCCTCAACAGCCGTTCCTACAGAATCAAGAACAATGTTCTCCAAGATGATACTACCATTTGTATACCCAGTTGAGGATGTTGAATCATAGGCAGTTTTCACACCAGTTGTTGTCCCCGAGATGGTTGAGTCAATGACGATGATGTTGCCGATTTCTTGGGAACCAGCTCCGCCTGCGCTGATGTCGATACCAGTACCACAATTATTAATAACAAGTCCAATATACGTCCAACTCCAGTCCCAGGAGTGAGAAATAGCAGTTACGCAGTTGTTGAACGTGAGTCCACGCATCGTGAATTGTTGGTTGCCAACATTAGCGCCAATATTTCCCCCATTAAATGTCAAATCACTGAGGAACCCCGCCGATCCTATGCATTTATGTCAGTATTTGAGTGGTAATTTGAGAATATTCATTCAAAAACATTTTAGGGGCCTGCAATTAAATTTGAAGGTTGCAGAGCAAATAACATACCACTTTCGCAGAAGAGACCCACATGCAGCGTTCCCGACGCCGCACTCATTTCAAAGACAACATTTTGAATGCTGGTGGCTTGAGCTGTAGGCCAATGAATACCATTGATAAAAGTAGTTGCTGGAATATTTGTGGTATCGATGACGAAATTGCGGATTTGCCTGTAGAAAAGTGTCGTAGTGACCCAGTTCGGGTATTGGGTGTAATAAGGGTCTGCATCAATGAGAGCCAAACCCTGAGAATCGGGGAAGCTAGCAGAAGCTTTGATTATAGGGACGTCATTCGGATTACCGATCAGTTGCGTGAAGTATGCCGGGTTGATAGGACTGGAAATCACGTAGGTACCGGCGGGGAAATAGATCACTGCTGGCGTCGTTGTTGAAGAACTGCAGCCTTGACCACATCTACCTCCGTCGATAATCGCCCTAGAGATAGTAAGCACGCGCCCATGAATTCTAGAGTGTGTTTGTCTTTACTTACTTATTGATCGCAGCTGTGTCATCTGTGGAACCATCCCCTGTAAATTGTCAGAATATATCCACAAAAATCGTCCTGTGAGAATTACCTAAAGCTCCATAGTCCTTCACATTTCGATAAACGACGTAGCCAGATGCGCCAAAAGCAGATATGCCTTGGTGGGTGATCCCCTCATACCAATACGCCGCTGCTTCCGCTGCATCAACATGAGGCGTAATTGCTGTATTTGGCGCAAGCGTAGTATCATTGCTAGTTGGACGGGTCGCATGAATTTCAGAATATGCCAAACTCACAGCTGCACTAGCCAGCCTATCATTTTGCGGGATGACCAGTTGGTCGGCGACAATTATTGACATCAGGGGCGCTAAAGCCCCGATATGGTACGAGAAACGCATTGGGAAGAATTCAAAGTAGACAATAGCAACCTTGAGTAAAGATTGATAGACACAAAGGAGAGACAGTCAACTACCAGGGGCAGTTGAAGGTAGGTATATATAGGGAACAGGGAGAGACATGGCCACTTGTAAAGTTGTGAGTTAGATTGTGAAGGTGTTCAGTTCTGAATCATCCGACCTCTTTGAGTTAGTGACCAAAATTCACAAAGGTCATTTTCCCGTGAACGTGGAAGTTTCCTATACAAGCCACATCCGTGTTCGAAGTGTGTCGTCAAGATGTGAATACCACGACGTAAAGTCTACCCACGAATAGGACTCGCACGTCTTTTGCAAAGTGTGACCGACAACGGGCCGTTGGAACCAAATAGGCTTAAATATGATAAAGCTTGAGATGGCTTCAGAAACTGGAGTCGGAGAAACGTTACTTCCAGCGGACCAGCCCATTGTTACTAGACCTAGATAGAGTTGCGCGGCACTAGAATGATCGGCAAAGTACAGCACTACTAGTGCGGAAGCGTGATGAACTTGAGAGACCCGCCAGATCAGATCATATGCAATGGCGTGGACAGAGATGAAAAGAACATATGGTACTGTACTTACCATACGGAGATAGAGGTACCGCCGTATTTTGCGATATATTGTCTAGGAGGCAAAGAGACGAGACGCAAAATAAGAGAATAACAATGAAATAAAACAGGAAAGTATCTTCGCTGAGCAGATGGGCAGTAAGGACCAAGAGGAGCAGGGAAGCAAGGAACGAACAGGGAAGAGCAAGCCGTCAAGCCGTGGTTGAGATCTCGTGCAAGGCACAAAGGTACGACATGCTCATCATGCACGCAAGAGGGGAACAGACCAGCTGCTGGGTCGTCGAATCATCCAAGAACAAAAAGGGGTCACTTGCCTTGGAGGACCGTGATGTGTCTCAAGGGGGTTTGTGGAGGATGGAGGAAGGAGATTGTGGGGTAGTAGAGAAGATCGGCATGCGAACAAGATTCTCGCCAATAGGCTGTTGTTCGGCCAGATCCTGCACCCATCCTCGGCTGTCCTAGCTCACCCCCTGACTCCAGCCAGTCTCTGTAACATACCCTTTGGGGAAGGTAGCAAACAGTCACAAGACTTGAGATTATGGCCACGATGAAGGAGCACACAAGCTCTTCCTTGCTTTACAGCACACTGTTCTGGTGGCAGTCGATACCTGTACGGAAAACCCTCAAATTATGCGCCTTGCCTCCCAAAAGGTTCCATGCCAGGTCGCTGGAGAGCGAGATGACTCAGTGGCGCCCAAACAAGATTCCCGATATCATCATCAAGCTTTGATCAATTCAGGAGGACGGCAAGATCGAAGACGACGAATATTATTCCGATGCCGATGAGGATCAAGACTGAGACTGAGACTCGGAGCTTTGATTTGCAGGGGAGGATGAAGAGCGTGATATCAGTGAGGAAGATCAATTTAGCATTAATGATCAGTACATTAGCTATTTATAATTAACACCAAGCAGAATATCTCACGGTATTCCGAGACGAACTTCCTAATGCTGGCATGCTACTCTACTCCGAGGGCTTGGGTAACGGCTGTCCTATCACATTTACGCTTTTCCTAAGCTTCCACCTGAACTACGGCTTCGAATCTGGCGCGCCACGTTCCGATCGAAGCGACGCATCGAATTATTCAGATCTTGGCTTGATAATGGACCCTCATATTTTGCTGATTGCATTAGTCTACTTCCATCCACGTCCGAAGTCAACCAGGAAGGCCGCGTCGAGACATTGCGATGCTTTAAGCTTTTGATCCAATCCAAGACCTCTGGGGCCTCAGTCTACTTTCGTCCTACTATGGATACTATCATTTTCGCAGATGCATTTACTATCCCCAAATATATGCAGGCACGCCTTTGTCCAACCGGGATCCGCATTAAGCGGCCTGTCATGCCATGCACACCATAAAAACTGTTCATCGCTCTATTATGCCCATAGTCGTATTCGACTCCGGTAAACTCCCGACCACAAGGACAGACCGGCCAAGCCCATACCTGCGGATTCGTCGGATTTCTATCCCGAGGTCACCATGCCCGAAACCTCGGAAGTTGATGCTAGATCTAGAATATCTTCGATTGCCTAGATGTTTCCGGAGCGGGTATGTACATGGCGAGGGCTCAGACGGGGTAGATGCCTCCAACTTCTGTCTTACCCACGAACTTGTGCCGCTCGAATGCCGCTATGATGCGGTCGCTGCACGCCCAGCAGGTGTCTTTCGCCAAGTTCGTTGCACAGTGGCAGCTTTTATAGCCGTGCGGATAGAAACCCTGGGCTTTTGTGGCAGGGCCCGCAGACTGGTCTCCACCAGCCCTCCTTATCAAGTGGTTCTCTAACAATGTTGTTGCGTCGACGCTACCTTCCACCATGAGACCATGGATTCGCCGTTGGTTTTATATTTCATTTCGTGTTTCGCGCGCCGACAGCAGAACAAATTGCCGTATTCTTTCGCGTAGCCTGTCTTGATGCCCCAGATATTCCTATGGCCGCGTGGACTTCGAGAGAATTGATAGCGTCGCGAGATCATGTCGGCCCTGAATGGCTTCCTTGTGCACTAGGCGCATTTCCTTCTGTTTCATCTCGAGACTTGAACTTACTACTAAACATTGAGGTTCCAGTGAATCGAGGGAGCGGCGTTGGTATATTGGGGGCAATTTTGCAGTATCAGAAGACAATCGTAAAAATCGCGAATCAAGCTTGATATTTGCTATTTTTGTTTGCAGCTGGATAGTGCCGGCGGAGAAATTGCAACTCTTGAGAAGAACCAAAGCCAAAGAGATAAAGAAAGGATCAAAATTTGAAAGAACTTTATTGTTCACAGCGATTGCCTTGCAATTCTTTGGATCTTAACAAAGACTTTCTGTTCCATGCTGGAGAGGATGATTTAAGCTGTCAGTCAGAACAAAGCGAGTTGCGGAACGAATAATACCTGCTTCGAGTCTGAGCGCCGAGGCATACTATGTCCAGAAATAAATCCCAGAGCGACAGATAATAAGAGGTCCAGATGATTATGCCTGCTTGAGAGATCTGCCATCTTAATTCCCCATCCAAAGCCGGTTTCTGTTTTATTCAACACTCATACAATACATACGAGAACACTGCATCTTATTTCATGCATTGTATTTCATACCAACGAAATGTGGTAAGAGTGTATTGTGCAACCTGCGCCGTCTCTTCCGATGGAAGAGAATATGGAATTGTGCCTGTGAAGGGTCAATACCACGCGCCGGCCACAATTGACTTATTATACGTTGTATTTGCGCAGATAGATGGGATGATAATCAAAAGACCGTCGCGCTCGCCGCAGTGCGCTATATAAAGTAAATATACTCCAAGGTCATCCACCTTCAAAATAACACTACAGACATGGGTCGATATTTGCGAATCTTGTCGTACAACTCGACGCTTAACTTGAGTGACTTGATCTTGCCCAGGAATAGAGTAGCGCTGAAGGATCAAACATCTCTTCCAACAAAATTGCATAGAGGGAAGCCATCATTATGGTATTTGAGCATAGCAGGTAGGAACTACCCCCTTGATGATGCTTTGAAGGCTAGCTAACCTACCCAGTACTAGAGGAAGCCCTTTGACGCAAGACCCTGATGATGCCTTGATAAATTTGGCACATTTGAGACTCGACCTCCCCGATCCCCAACAAGAGCTCTGCATCCAGACAAATCCACTTGGAAACTTCAAGCTCTTCCCAAAGCTACCCACAGAGCTTCGAGTCATGGTCTGGAAAGCCACCGTACGACCTCCACGCCTGATCGACCTCGAGCTAGAGTGCTTCTGGCTACGGGACGACATCAAAATACCGTACAAGAACGCGCCCCCACTGCCATCAACCCTATACGCCAACCGCGAAAGCAGGCGTGAAGCTTTGAAACACTACGGGCTCTTCTACACTATCCCGCAATCCCGTCAGCCATTTCTCGAATATTTGGCTAATCCGGGCTATAGGGAACCAAGTCGACCGGTTTGTATCAATATTCCAAGTGACGTGCTTACATTCCACGGGATCTCGGCCCTCGAATATACCACTGCATGTCTCCATTTGGAAGATCAGGAGTACAGATTTCCTGGCGTCCAAACCCTGGCTATCAGCCATGTGGACACTGGTGATCATCACGGCTTGAGAAGGAAGTCTGCCGAGAAGAGGAGCGACTGGCAGATATTTCCATCTCTGCAGAAGATCATCCTTCTAGCCGACAAGAGTGAAACAGAGGACTGGATCATGGACAAGACGACTTGGGGAGGTGAAGCACTCAGAGTGAGAATTTTGGAGCAATTGGAGAGACTTGCGCTTTTGGAACCAACTCGTTCTGTACCGGAAGTGGTTTTGATGCCTGCGCGGCCGATGACGAAGGAGCTCTGTTACCTTTAACAGCTCATATAAACTTGGCCTTGGTCGCATCGAGCAGCAGCGTTAGAGTGTTCTTCGAATGTAGCACGAAGCAGCCTCCAAAACTTTGAAATGCTTCTGGGCCAACTCTTAGATAGGACTTTTAAGTATGAATAGGACTCATGCAGCTATGTATAACTTAGCATCAGAATAAACATAATCAATACACGTAATTCAACCCTCTGGAATCCTAACTTACATGTAATTAAGATGCAGTGAAGCTCAAATTTGGAAAGGGCTTGTGTAGAGCCTCGGCTAAGTGGTCAAGCAGTGATCCCTTCAGGCATGTGATAGGCCCCACTTTCCAGGGTCAGTGCGGGGTGGGTGTAGGGCTGTGCTGTGACATGGCATGGGGCCCCAAGGAGAGGTTGAAGTCGCGTTTGATTATTTTCTTCTTTCTTCTCGGATGAGAAGAGGCATTAAGTAAAATTCGCAAATGTATGTAGAGGTAGATTTTATATCGTTATATGTCGTATAAACAAAAATTGTCATGGATATCAACACAACTATCTTCGCACGGAGCAAAATTCAGTTTATCAAAGACTTTTCCGCCCCGTTACAAAACACCTTTAATAATGTTAGACCATGGTTTAGTGAAGAGTTAATGAGCACAGTATACTTACGCTCGAGTGAAAGTGTGCATTCCTGGATCTTTCAATTCAGTCCTTACTTTTCCAAGCAGCGCATGAACAGATGTTGCCTCCCACCCGGCTTTTGTAAATAACATCATAGAATAATTCTCCATCCCTAATCAATTCCAGCGTCAGTGCTACTCAACTTGTGAAGCCCAACAGGGTTACTCACCTCCATCTAACATATGGGACAGATAATATGCCCCGAGCGCTTTCAATTTTTTATTCTTCGGCCACGGCCCTACCGGTATAATTCTTGATTCCAAATGCACGTCCTCGAATCCCACTTCCTGGAGCCATTCCGGCACCTTTGGCGTGGGATCGAAATCCATTCCCATTCCCTTTGCGATCCCATGAAAAGTTTCTTTCCACGCCTCGCAGGCTTTCCCTCTCTCCTTGAACGTGTCATCTAGACATTCAAATTGCGTTCTGATATCTGTAACCTCTATCCGGCCGCCCGGTTTCAAATGTTCAAGAGCTTCTGAGAAGAGTTCCTTCCAATCGCGTATACTGCCGACCATGTTTCGAATGTGTATGAAATCTATCGAGTCTTTTGTTCGAAGCCACGGTCTTGTCACATCATCTATTTCAAATGAGACATTTGGAGGAACCCAGACCGGTTGGATGGGCGATATATCGACGCCGGTGATTTGCGCAGAGGTATATTTATCGCCCATCTCGATCGCCCAAATGCCGGTGCCTGTCCCCACGTCGAAGATGCGCTGCACGGTTGGGGGTAGGTCTGTCGCAGTAATCTCGCCATCGAGACACATTTTCAGGATGTGATGTTGAAGGTCGAGACGATCTTGTTCCGATTCGTCATTTGGTAAAAGAACGCGATCGCTGCCATGGTATCGATGGCCGTGCTCATGGATATGCTCGAATTCTAAAGAGCCGAGAGATGTTGTAAGGGAGCGAATACTGCCGTCATCGTAGCCGGAATCACTATCGTGCTACAAGAATTAAGAGATATTCGAAGAAAGGAAAATGGAGATTCCTACATCGACTTCTATGATTGATGCTAAATCATCGTCTATCAGTATTCCGGGGTCTGGCGCTTTGGGATGTTCTGGCCCACTAACCCCGGATTCAAATCCCGAATCAGTCGTGGCAATCGTTGCAGCATCTGAGTCTGGGGGCGGCTTTTGTGGAGTACTAGTATGAGAGCTCATACTTGCGATGGCTAGAGGTGATTGTTGTGATGCGTGAGGTAAAGTTGATACGCTTATCGTATCGCGGAGAGAAATACAGTTACGTGCTAGTACATCTTTGACTAGCGCGGAGGTGAAGATCCCCCTTAAAATGACAATTTCTCGAATGATCTGAGACCTCTCGCTATATACTAACTAGCTTCTGGGCATTATCCTCAGATCGTCAGATTCTCCGGAGTCCCCAAAAGCGTCATGTCTGTATCTGTAGAAGAACCTACATATGCGACATACTTGAAGCTAGTCACTAGCGCATTCCTGGCCTGCGTGACACTGATATTTGTCCGCCGACGCTGGTTCTCATCTATCAGCGATATCCCTGGGCCTTTCCTGGGCTCATTTTCAGTTCTCTGGCAGATAAGGCATGCCATCAAAGGTCATACAGAGGAAGAAACTATCGCAGAACATAGGAGACATGGTACGTAGATCTCAATCAGCTGCGAGGACTGGACAAGAGTAATGTGATTAACGTAGGTGACTTCGTTCGTATTGGGTACAACGAAGTCAGCATTGGCCATCCGGACGCAATTAACGAAGTCCTCAAGAGCCAGATGAACAAGGTATATATGCGTGAAATCCCAATTGATCCTACATGATGCTGACCGAATCGTGAAGGGTGATTGGTACAGAATCTTCTCACTTCCTGATTCTCGCTATGTCAACCAGATGTCCGAAGTAGACGCAAAGCGTCACATTACAAAGACCAAAAATATCGCCCCCGGATATGCGTTTTCAAATGTCATTAAAGCTGAACCATATGTCGACGGCGCGCTTCGCCTTTTTGAGAAGCGCCTCGACAGCCTCTCGGAAGCCCACTTGCCTGTGAACTTCGACGAGTGGTTCAACTTCCTTGGTTTCGACATTATGGGTGAAGTGACATTTTCTAAGCAATTCGGCTTCCTCGACCAGGGCCGGGATATAGGAGGTGCGATTGCAAACACTCGTATGCTTGGCATCTATGTGGCTATCATGGGCCATTTCTGGTGGGCACATGATTACCTCCTAGCAAATCCCCTGATCGGATACCTTAACCTGCAGCCAACTATGCATATTTTTGACACTGCTCTTGCTGCTGTTGATCGAAGATCTAAAAATGACCAAGTCCGTAAAGATATGATTGAACAGTGGATGGACATGAGGAAGAAGCATCCAGAACGCATGGAGGAAAAAGAGATCCTAGCTGCTGCAGTAGCAAATATTGGGGCCGGGGCCGATACTGTTAGCGCTACATTGCAAGCTTTGTTTTACAACTTGTTGAGAAACGAAGAGACACTGACACAACTGAGGGAAGAGATTGACGGTGCCAACTTGGCTGAGGTGCCGACCCACGAAGAGACTCAGCAACTACCTTTCCTGCAGGCTTGCATAAAAGAGACGCTTCGTGTCCACACCCCAGTAGCCTTTGGTCTACCACGCGTCGCACCCAAAGGCGGCGTGACCGTCCTTGGCCGACACTTCGACGAAGGCGTTATCCTCAGCGTCAACCCCTGGGTGATACACCAGCGTCCTGACATATTTGGAAACGACGCGGATGTATTTTCACCAGCTCGCTGGATGGATCCTATTCGCGCTCGCGAAATGGAGAAAAGCTTCACTGCGTTTGGTGCGGGATATAACCAGTGCCCTGGGAGGCATTTGGCTCATATGGAGCTCTGCAAGACGACCGCGATGCTGGTTCGAGATTACGATATCAAACAGGTCAACAAGGGGAAGAGTTGGAGGTTTGAGTCTCACTTTACGGCCGTACCATATGATTGGCCATGCTACGTGACGAGGCGCTGTAACCAGTGATTGAATAGCGAGATCTGTGGTTGTGATAATTGTTGTATTGTAAGGTAGGTGCAAGCGTGAGGTTATATTTTGAGTCATGTCACGTGCTTAAGTATCCATACTTTGAATTTGTACTTCAGCAGCTTGCACCCACACATATTATGGTGTAAGGAATTGGTCTTTGCTCTACCTGTCCCATTTATAGACATCCCGTCCTTTTTTGTCTGGAAGTTTCTCGCTCTTGGAGGTACAAGGCTGAATGAAGTAGTTCTACGGTGAAAGTAACGGTGTTGTTACTTCCTGCTGCACTTTATCTTCCTTTCTCTGCAACTTTCCAACTAAGACTTTGACAAAGCACATTGCAACACCACCCCTACTACGTCTCGACGCGGCGACAGTAATGAAGGGCACATTCTTCGCATATATATATTATTTTTTTTTGAGGTTGATCCGTATTATTATAAACTACCTCAATATCTAGCAGCTCATTGGTACCTCCACATGTCTCTAAAAACTAAAGAATTGCTTCAAAGCCTGCATCTTGTTTGCCTTGGATATGTACTATGAATTTCCATCACGTTTCGATCCTAATTGCTGCTAGCCACCACCCGAAGCATCATTGTTATTTCAGGCCTCTTCAGTTATCCTCCCACATTATGTCGAAGCTCACAGAGGCAGAGAGTTATGGTCCCAATGGTGGATGGTAATCTTTGGAACTTGCCACGTCGAGTCCTCTTCCACGAGCTTCGCAAAGCAGTGTTCTAAAAACTTGACGCTACGATCACTTTCCTCCTGTTTCCATGCAAGATGGCCAATTGTGCCAGTCGAAATCTCATGTCGAAACTTCTTTCGTATGCTTTTCGGCATAGGATATGAACGATGTCCATCCATGACCAACCTAAGTTCCTCAAGATCATGGAAAAAGCGAAGACAACGAGCCATGACTCCGGTCTGTCTCAAACAACTTTCTACTCCAAAATCAATCATCCATCGGCGTATTTCCAATGACTTGACCCCCTGAAAATTGCAAGATCGGAAAATGGATGGTTTATTTGCCGTTCCAAATTCATCGCCGTTAACCAATGACGACAAGTCGATATAGAGAAGGTCGCGGTTGGGATTGAATATAATGGGCTGTGGTGCTCTAGGCGAGCATGGACAATAAGGGCTCTCTCTGAACAGAATACGATATTTCCGAAGAGTTTCAGATCGGCTCTCTTTATCGACATAAAGAGTGACAGGTAGTTGCATGTGTTGCGATATAGACCGACAGGAAGTCCATCTGCCATAAATCAACCCGTTGAGACACTCAGGATCTCTCTTGCCGAAAGAAGATTTTGTTGGTCGAAGGTTGACTTTTCGAGGTGCAGGAAAGCAAAGTCGCCAGATCGCGAGACGGACCTCGATCGGGAGTTTCGGGAAGAAGTGAAAGATGTTGAGGTCTTCGACACCAGGACTGAATAATTCTTGGTCACTATCGGGCATCTCGTTTGCGAATAAAGCGCTTGTGAGACTTTCCATACTTTCGGTGGCAGCTAAAGAGGTCAGCCTAGGTCAATCATCAGGATAACATATACTCTACCTTGAGCCTGAAGAGTGTCTTGAGTCATCATCTTGCTATTTAATGGATTTTGCAGTTGCGATCTGGATTTGACGGTTTATATTGAGACCACTAAAGAGCTAAGTGCTGAGGTATAGGAAGGGCCTCTTATAGACCTGAAAAGCGCTGGCTAGATCGCCGGCTGATGACGTGAGGCGGAAATATACTGCATTCAATATTAAAACGCCTACTAAACTGAATTGAATTGGAGATGGAACAGTGGCTGGAAGTTGAGTGTGAATAGAATAATGTGGTGGGCGTCGTGGTTCGTATATTGAACACTGGACGCAAGACGATTTATGATATATGGCCGTGTTGATCTAGGACATGTTGACTTGCCAGTCTTGTTTGAAGTTTACAAAGATCAATAACGATCGAGGACAAACGGAACGGATAGCCATCGTCATCAAGTTCCTTTTATCACATGTAGTTTAAAACTATACATAATCTTTCTCTCTTTCCTCTTTTACTCGCAATACTAAAGCCTTTAACCTAGTGGTTTTAGTTAAAAATAAAATTTGTAGCTGAGGTGGGCGCAGCACCCCCTCACAATTGGAATAGGTAGGTAGGACATTGTTTCGAGACGATCACGTGAAAGATACAAGCGAATGGGAAAGGGGAGCTCCTTCTTCATTTGGCGACCTTGCAGCCAATGCAACTCACATATTGTTTCAAGGAGCTGGTGCACTAATTATAATCAATGGGCTTCTGATCTTTATGAAAAAAAAACCTTCTACTCGCAATACCTACCCGCAGTACTTGAACGTTCTACCTTCTACTATAACATTCCTTACCTCCTGATGTTGATTCGCAGCCAGCCCCCTATCAAGAAGTTCGCATCCTTATGTCTTGCATTGACAAATAGAAAAGCACTACAATTGGAAGACAAAGCTAGACTTCGAGAAAGCAATATAGTTTTATTCCCCACGGCTGAAAATAAGAAGATTAATAAGAGGGTGTACGGGAAGCAATAAGCGAGGCATTAAAGGGGGTTTGGCCAGTATTTAGCTTATTTATCTCCAAACCAAACTATTAGGCTTCACTACCGGTATATAAGAAGTTTCATAAATAAAACAGCTTTATTAAAACAATTGAATATACGGCCATGAAAGATATGACAATGGCGGCGCTGGCGAGGACATGTGAAATATTGGATCATATGAAGAGGAGACAAATGGAGCCTGGGGCAACGCCGGTGACGAGGAAGGTATCCATGTCCTAGCTTCTGTGGGGTCTGTGTGATGACTTCAATGCATTCACTCTACTTTAAAGGAAAGCCTTGTTGTCAATACTCCATTTGCTGTCAAGAAGGTTTCTAATGGTCGAGCATTTCGCTATCAGGAAGATGTAAAGAGAACTCGATGTAGAGGCGGGTGGCTTGATAGTATTCTTCAGCACTTCAGGTAGGCTAATACTGCTAATGTAACTGTTGAACTTGAGAGTCGTAGAGTGCAAAGATGGTAAAGTTCGCAGTTCCACTGGGTATGACATTGGTCGAAGATCGCTGGAGTATATAGCTATTCTGGAGCGAACACGTACCTTGGCCTATACTTTCAAGCGGCAATGAACGGACTTAGGCTTATGTGAATTCAATTTACATAAGCCTAAGTTGCATCTTAAGAGGCTGTGTATACAAGAGAGGTTCAGTCGGCTTGTAAGCACCAATAAGTGATCTCAGTTTCAGTACAGTGAATCACACCCCCCTGTCCGTTGACCGTGGGAAATGCCGAAAAGAAGATATTCTTAAGAACGTTAAAGTATTTAAACTCTAGTTCCAACTTGAGAGAAGAGTAATGAATGAAACGAACATAGAGACACTAAAGTCATATCTGTGGCGTTGTATTATTCTGCTTTGAAAATTGAAAAGCACTTCAAAATTATTAAGACTCTAGATCTTAAGCCTTGCCTCGGGAACAGACACTGGCCAGTCTCTTGAACCAGCCATATGACTCTACAATCAATATAGTGCCGTTTGTTAATCATAGCTTTGCTGTTATTAAAATCCATACGTTCGTCTAGTGCTCAAACATTCATTCACACGTGCGATCAAACTTTTCAAAGTCCAAATCCACTTCACCAGAAAAGGCGAACAAGATAAAACCTCTTCCACCAACCAAACCATAATGTTTATCATGAAACCCAGCTAAATCGATCCCCGAGTCTCTAATTGTTCTACTTCGTAGATGGGATGCCAAACCATAACGTTCGCACGGTCTATATATATACCCCTTCCAGCAATCCAACCCAAAACAAGGAAAACGAACACAGAATCAAAGTATATTCACCTAATCAAACTCGAATACCAAATCAATCCTCCGCATAATACGGGGTATAAAAGCGCGAGAGGTGCTTGGATGCAAAATCTTTCCATTGCAAAAAACTATGATTCATTCAAAATTCATGAGTGTCGCTCGATGGTGCGTGGCTTTAAGGAAATATATCGCATCACTTTCGCATACTCTAGACCTCGGGTACGGAGCAATTCACAGGAGCAGATTGCGGAATAGGACAGGCAGTGTAGAAGAAGCAGTAAGCAGATAAGAGTTCTTGTGAAGAAAGGAGTTGCTGTCAAGTTTGTAACCAATATACAGTACCGGAATTGGATGAGAATGTGGTTAGCACAGCATACACAAATATTTTTTGAGATTTACGAGTTGTGCCTTGCTTCATGAGTATCGAAAGCCTTTGGTAGCAACGTTCGTACCGGATGATTTGGCCGTGAAAGCGGAAATACATCTATGTTTTGTTGATCACCAGCGCGATTATATACTCAGTAGCCGCATACCATGAAAGGTTTTACGCATATCAGTTGGATCATGCAAAAAGCAAGACACGAAAACATTTTAAACGGTTGAAATACAATCCAGTCATTTACCCAAGGCACGCTCTGAACACCTATCGCTAAGCTAAATACACCTGTCCTATCCTATTCCCCCGTCGGATTTATATACCCTGTACCTTGCGGTAACTAGGTGGTTTGATCGCGCGTCTAATCAACTTTCCTGCATAAGGCGGTATCAGGGAGATAGCTGATATTGCTGCGACGCGCCATACGAAGCCCCTATTTCAGGTCATTAGCACATGCCCAGAAAAAAAGGGAAGAGGAAGCAAAGGGGGACATACCAAGTAATAATGAAATTCAAATCAAAATACCCTCCAAGGAACGGTATACTCCCTAAATACAACAACAGTGTGCCAACCAGACTGAAAATCATCATCGGATGCCAAGTGGTAATCTCGAAGGCCACCATGCAAAGCTCATTCAGCACCAGCACCGTAAAGCTCACGGCTACCATCCGCGGCCCATCAACCTCTGTCAAGATCTGGCTAAGACCCTGGATCATGCCGCCTTGATAGATGGACACAAACACCCAGACGAAGAAGGTGCGATAGGAGAGCGACGCGCCGGTTGTTAGCTCTTTGTAGAGTTCCGGGTATAGGTTTGCGAGTTTCTCATCGACATCTTTGTCAAGGACGAGGGAGAATACGGGGGCCATTGTGTACACGGTTGCATAGCCCACCAACAACCAATCTTTGTATAAACCCTCGGGTTCAAATTTGATTGCAATGCTGTACATAGTCTGGCAGACGGATATAATCAGACCGCGGTGGATAACAAATTGCGCGAGCTTAGCGCTGCGCTTATAGCTGTTGCGACCGTGCCAGACGAGCAACTTGGTCAAGTGGCAGAACTGTGTGATGGAAAAGTCTGCCGCGAGGGAAGCTTGGCGTCCTTCTTTCCCGACGATACCGACACCGACGTCGGCGGCTTGAATCATGGAAACGTCATTGCCGCCATCGCCAATGCAGCAGATGCGTTTCTTGGTGTGGGCACGGATGAGCAGTGCAATATCTGCCTTTTGGGTTGGGGAGCACCGGCAGGCGATGACCGTGGGGAGGAGGACGGCGAGGGAAATGAAATCGGTGCGGAAGTGGGTGAGGAGGAGGGAGAGACTTTCGCCATCGATGAGGAGGCAGGAGTCGATTTTGCTGCGGAGGAAGTCAAGGTGATCTTGGGCGTTGTCTTTCCGTTTTAGCTTTGCTATGGTGTGAATGTATTGGCCCCTCGCTACTAGTCGTGCACTAACGGCCACGCAACGCGCTGTTTCCACTTTGTCGCCTGTTAACATCCATATCTTGATTCCAGCATTTCGTAGGAGCTCGAGTGACGGCTTTACATCCTTTTGTAGCTTGTCTTCGACCCCAGTGACACCTAAAAGTTCGAGGTCTCGCTCCAGATAGTGAGACACAACCCGTGCCATGCCAGTATCTCGGTTGTTGAGAGCCACTGAAGCCTCCCTATAACTGTTGGCAAACTCCTTGTATTGCTGGACTGACATTTTCTTCCTACCAACAACCAAAGTTCTTAGACCTTCGCGAGCCATGTTGGCAGTTTCTTCATCGAGCCAGTCGTTGGCAGCAACGATTGAAGACATGACCGTATCAGCACCCTTTTGGAAGAACCAGATTTCCCCAGCTTCAATATTCACGATTGATGATGTCTCTGATCCATCCAAGAATTGGGCGATGATACCCATTCTCTTACCATCTGATGTGAATGGAAAGACCTCCAGAATGCGAACTCTGACGACAGAGCGCCCGGTATCCACTGACTGAAGTAGCATGCCTTTGCGATCTCGATGGATCAATCGTAGCCCGACAGCCTCTGTCCACTTGACGATAGCTATTTCATCAGGCGATGATGCTTGGTACGATGTCACGGTCTCTCCATTTTCTTCTTCGATTGTAGGCGTGACGTTGTGGCAAATAGCGAGGGCAAGGACAACATCACGAACACGGGATCCTATTTCCCTCCTGGTTCGAGTCGCTGTTACTGTTGTTGAAGCAAGGAATGTCGATGAAGGTGTGATAAGCGTTGAAGCTTGAGCACCATCCATAGACTCCGGGATAGAGAATCCTTGTCGGATATAAGAAGCGACTTCGTCCATTGCCTCATTAGCGTAGGAGACAGTTCCCACGTGAATCTTCTTCATCTCCATTTCATTCTGAGTTAGGGTGCCGGTCTTATCACTCAGTAGATACTCAATTCGCCCCAATTCCTCGGGTATCGTGCTAGTCCTCACCACAGTTCCCTCAATACCTGAATCTCGCTGGATGAACCAAGAGTAGACACTCTTTCCCATGTCTAAATTGACTCGAAGACTGATGGGAACGATGGTCGAGAAAAGAACCAGAAACCTCATGATCTTAACATACCACTTGATACCTTCAACATGCTGGAACCCTTCTAAGGCAACCAGAACGATAGAAAGGGTGAGGGTCAGGGCGCAGAGAATCTTCGTGAGAGAATTGATTTCATACTCAAGAAGGCCAGTCTTTGAACGTGAGGGAGATGTTGACAGCGCTGATCTAGTTTGCGGCCCAGTGTACACAACTACAGCCAATGTCGTAGCATTCGAAGCAAGAACGGTGTTTGCCCATGCTGTATTGTCGATTGTCAAGGGTGATGATTCAGGATTTCTTTCTGAAGCGGCTTCGTTGAGAGGAGATGATTTTGGTACGTGGGGATCATATCCTATACTTTTTGGTAACAGCTCAACCGTTCCAATGAACTCGTTGACCTTCTTGTCTGGCTTTCCAGCAACGATACGAAGGCGTACAAATTCAGATGGCTGGAGATTTTGCGTAAGCGGTGACCCAAGTCGAAGCTTCCAATCCGTCTCGCCATCGAGTTGGTCTGTTCTAATAAATGTTTCGCCTACACCTCCAGCATCGGCTGAGGGGGAATTTCCGAGCCGCGAGGTAGACTCGTGTCCTTCGGCGGCAGTATCCGTAGTTTGGTCTATCGCAGGATCAGAGACTGGGTCCACCAGTAATGACTCCTCAACAACAGCAGCAGCTGGCTCCGATGTCGATGCTGATTCGTTTGTGAAGCTCTTAAGAATGACAACATCTGCCGGTACTCGCTGATCCTTACCCAATTTTAAAACATCGCCAACTTTCAAGTCTCGTGATTTCCGTGTCACTTCTCGGACCACAGTTGTAGGACGCTGGATTCCCGAGCTTTCCGCATTACTCTCTTCCTCCTGGATGTCAGATAGCCTGTCGGGTTCGACTAGACTCAATCGTTTCGACTTGCCCTTCCCTTTAGATTTCAGTTTCTTCTTGACGTGATATCTGTCAGAATTGGCAACACCGGGTGTGTCAAACGACAACATCGTATATCCTTCTGAATTCGCTTCGTTGTCCCTTTTTCTTCGCTGGATATCATCAAATGCCTCCTTCCCCAACGTAATCGCCAAGACGAATGCTAGTGGTACAATATAAGTTGACAAATATCCTATCCGTAACGGTGGAATGGCCTGGGAAAGTGCGACGAGTAAAAAGTACATGTTGAAAAAGAAAGAGAATTCGTTATACAAGGTTCGCGGTAAAAAGCTAATGGGGGTATATTTCGCGTTTGAAACTGCATTCGCAGGAAATCGTGCGGTTTGAGTGGTTCCGACAGACACGGAACGAGATGAGGCGGGGTCATGGTCTTCCTCCTGGTCTTCAGCGCCATCCTGGGCTACTGGTGAGCTGCTAGAAGTACCAAGAAAGCTGGATAGGCGTAGATGTGATCCTAAATTGTCTTTCACCCTATTGAAAGCATCACCACTGGGTTGCCGCGCGTGCCCACCCCCAGGGAGTAAAGGAGCATCATCTTCTGCGCTGTTTAAGCTCCCCCCCGAGTTTCGATTTGCCCCGTCAAGCCCCTGCTCGTCGTCCAAGAGGCCGTGTAAATCCTCATCATCCGTATCCCTCTTCCGCCCTAAATCTCCATAGCCTCTATTTCTGTTTCCTAGACCTCGCAGTCCACCCATACGCAGATTCCTTAACGGTATATGGGCCCCTCGTCTTTCTTCCGTTTTCCGGGGCTTCCGCGAAGAAGAGTTCGGCGGTTGAGATGTAGTTATGGGATCGAGCTCCTGAATATCCAGGTCGAGATCGGAATCGGAATCGGGTTCATGGACGGGAGGACCGGGGGCATCTGGCTGATTGTAAGGTCTCGAAGACATGCCTCATTGATGCGGCAGGCATGTACGAGGAGGAGGGGACTGATGTGAGAGAAATGCAGTGGGGTGTAGCGGGGTGTCGTGAAGTGAAGCAAAGTATGGATTTATTGAGAGTTTATGCTGCCACTATACGGAAAGTAAGCTTGTCTCAGCCATGGGATGTTGACACGCGGTTGAACGCGGTCGTTCCGGGGGTGCATGCAGGGTATTCTTGGTCGCTGCAGCTCGCCGTACAACAGAAAGCTGTAAGCTGGCCTTGTCGCGAAATACAGGTATGCATGTAACTATCCGAATCATCAAGATTCTTTAAGTCTACACTCTCACCTGTTACTCGTCAACGCCCTCGGACAATGATTTTCTGACAGCTGTAGCATGTCCTTCTCCGCGGTACCTTATTCTACTTAATCTGATTGGTCCTTTAGCGGGTATCGTTGTATAAGTACGTATCTGGAAAGGAAAATAGCCCGAGCGACGGGAGAAAGAAGGGGGCTCATGATGCTGACAACTCCCAGTATTCACTTCTTTTCCTACCATTCGCGCCGTAACCATGTCTTCTGAATCTTCGAGTCTATCCTGGCATCCTGCCTTTATGCCAAATTCATCCGCAGATATAATACATACAAAACCAACCCCGGAATCGCATTCGAGTACGTTTCCAACAGAACACGCCATCCTCGAAGATTCGAAACCGGATTCATCCATGGTTCCATCGAGAGTAGATACCCAAGAGCCCCCAGCGGAGGCTTTAGAAGACTCCGAGCCAATACCCGATAATACTGCCCATCCAGAACTACCCAACCTCCGAGATGCACTCGCGACATCCTTGGCGAGTCCAGGAGGGGTGGAAATGGATGAGAGCCCAGTACATAATGGCATCGAGATGCCAGAAACTGCCAGAGAAGACAAAGCCGAATTCCCATCAGAAGCGCCTTCAAATGAAAGTAAACATCTCAGTACAATGTCGTTTGCGAGGACCGCCCAGGAGGTTAACTGGGGGGAGGATGATGAAGTTGATCCGGAATGGAATATTTCCAGAGCAGATACAGACCCTTTCAAATTGATGGCCAAAACAGACCGGACGAACTCTTTTCCTCAAGTTCCACCGGCGCATTCCTCCGGGTTGAATCACTACGAGGAGCCTCTGCCTCAGAGCCAGGCGGAGGAAATAATGAATAAAGCTGAGCATGAATCGAGAGATCTATTTGGAGATGAGGAACATGATGGAGAGGACGATTTCTTTGCTCAACAAGCAAGCTCGGAGCATGAACTATTCCCGGAGCCCCACCACGAAGGGAGAGATGAAAGCGTTCAGACGGACTTTGGGCAGACATACGGAGGCGATTTCCAGCAAGAAGAAGGACAGGAAGACCAGGCCCGGTATGAGGAAGGTATTCCCCTTGTACAATCAGCGGAGGACGAGTATGCTGATCGTCCCCCACCTGCATTTATGGATGGTGACGAAGGAGATGAAGAAGACTTCTTTACTCAAGTCAGCAAATCAGAGCCGGCCCCTGATCAGTCTTTATCGGAACCACCAACCCTAGAACGGAAATCCACAATGCAAGTTATGGACTCACTTCACTTCCAGCCGCATCAGCAAACTCATCCAGATATCGTTGAAGAGACCATTGAAACAGCCCAAAGCTCTTTAGACCGCGCAACAGGGGGCGGGATAGCAGTGTCAACGAGCACCATACTATCCCAGGTTCTTGGCGATCCAGCAGCCCCCATTCACAGTGAAGCAGAAACCTTGACTGCTCTTGGGATGGATTCTGCAGATGGAGATCTGGCCGAGAAATGGAAAGCTGCTTTGGCTGGTGATGAATTCCTGGATGATGACGATGAGTTTCTGGCGGATGATGAACCTGTTGATGAGGATGCAGCTCTCGACCCAGCTGCTCTGTTTGGTAGTGATGATGAGGGATTTTTGGATGATACTGATGATCAAGATGCTGAATCCAATGCATTCAACCAAACGAGCCCTCCAATTCCAGCCCCTGTTACATCCCCCAATGGTCATGTGGTGGGATTCGATAGCTTGACTGGGGCAGCTCAACCAAGACCAATGAGTAGCAGCAGCAGTCGCTACCTTCCAGCTGGTACCAATACAGCGGTTCCTCCGCCAGTGAATAATTATGCGCCTTCTGGGCCCATGTTGACAGATCTTTCCAGACCTGGACTTACTACTAGCGTGTCAACTCCTTATATCTCTCCAGCTACTCCTAGTTTCCCACCACAGCAACAAGAGCTTCAACGACCGGAAATGCCAAAGGCTCAAAGCTTCGCAAACCAGTCAAAGGGCGGCTATTCATCACCGTATGATTTACCAATGGAAGTCATCAAACCGCGAAAGCGAGTTAGCATGCAGCAAATTAACCATGGCTACAATGCACCGGCTGCAAATGTACCGCCCCCAAGGAGTGCCAGTATGCATGACCAACCACCTCTGCCACAGTCAAGAGGATCTGGCTCGAGTTTGTCACCACCCCAGAGTAGCCATTCTGCCCAGCAAAGTCAATTACAGCCCACAGCAGGTCCGCCCAGTGCTCAACCTCCCAAAACTATCAAAAAACAGGCTAGTGGATTCTTTGAAGAGCTCCCTATGTCAAGTAGACCCAAGCCTGCTCCAAGACACTCGACTGGATATGGTTCTCCGACGTTACCTGGACAGGCCAGTGCACCGCCTCAATTCCCAGGACAAGTGGCGCAACCACTCTACCCTCCTCCCATCCAACAGCAAGTAGCCCCAGGGCCACCAGCGCCACAGGGTTTGGTCGCACCTGAAAGAGTCAGTCCATATGCATCTTTAACAACCACCCCCGTACTTCCACCATCCATGGCCTCGAGGTATTCTCCAGCACCACCACAACCACAAGCTCATACTGCTCCTCCGGCGCTTTCGCGGTATTCTCCAGCACCGCCAATTCAACGTCAACAGTCTCAAGTATACAATGCACCACCTGTGAATGCTCCACCACCCCCCGTTTTTGCCCACCAACCTCGAACGTCAAGTCCACTGGCACATTTTGAGAGGAGTCAAGAACCCAGATATGGAAGTGATCCCAGTCTCGACCGTCGAAGTAGCTCCTCGGGATACGACTCGAGTGTGAGGGCCCACCATCTGCCACCCACCCGTGAAGTTGATGAAAACGAGCAATTGCCAGCCTCTACAAACCAACACTATGGTTCGCTATCGCAACAAACTCTGTCACGACCACCCCAGAACACGAGAGCTACTTCAACCCCACCTCCACCCCCGGCAATGAAGCTTGCCTCACCACCCAAGCGTGCACCGTCGAATTATCTGCCTCAGCAAGCATTGGATACTACTCCACCTCAAGCGTTCGCACCCCCACAAAGGTCACAAACTCAATCTCCCGGGCAAACATTTGCGAGGCCCAGGCATGAAATGCCTCCATCCGCTCCATACCAACGACCAGCTTCAGTGGAGATCCCTACATCGCCAAAAGCACAACCAGGTCCGGCTATGCAGCCAATATTTCCTCCTTCTCGCGCTAGAGGCTTCTCCCAGGCTTTGAATTACATTGCTCCTACTGATGGCCGAGAACATGACCCTATGCAACGGTGGAGAGGTGCTCCTGTCTTTGTCTGGGGTGTTGGAGGGACAATCATCACATCATTTCCCAAAGACGTCCCGAGGTATGGCATGAATCAATCAGTACCCATGATTATTCGCAGCCCTGGAGAAGTGAGGACTCGAAATATCAAGGACATCGATCCTCTTCCACAACGAATGACAAGCTTTCCTGGCCCTCTGAAAGGGAAGTCCAAAAAGAAGGATGTTGCGGCCTGGCTTACTGCTAGTATCGAAATCCTGGAGCAAAATGCGTCGTATCTCCGGACGGTGACTCATCTTTCCCATGACGACAAGCGGACCGAAGAACGCATCATTCTTTGGAAGATACTGCGAGTCTTCATCGAAAATGATGGTGTTCTGGAAGGCAACCCAGTAGTTGAAAAGGCCGTTCGGGCAGTGCTATCTCCCGACCTCGATGACGCAAACACGACCGAGGCACCTTTGTACGCAACTGGAGCCGATCTCTCGGGAATCACACATTCTTCGGATTCTGGAACAAGAGCCGACCCGGTGGATGCTTATGCAGTTGACCAATTAAGGAAACACTTACTTCGTGGTGAACGTGAGAAGGCTGTCTGGGAAGCGGTTGATAAGCGATTGTGGGCGCATGCCATGCTTATTTCCAACACCGTGTCGAAAGATCTTTACAAGCAAGTCGCTCAAGAGTTCGTACAAAAAGAAGTCAAGAACATCGGCGAGAACACCGAATCTCTCGCTGCGCTTTATGAAGTATTTGCTGGCAACTTCGAAGAAAGTATAGATGAGCTTGTTCCGCCCTCAGCTCGAGCTGGTTTCCAGATGGTTAGCACATCAAATGCTACCGGGCCTTCGAAGGATGCGCTTGATGGGCTGGATAGGTGGAGAGAGACTCTCGGGCTTGTCTTGAGCAACAGAAGTACCGATGACAACCAAGCTCTCAATGCCATGGGCAAACTTTTGTCTGGTTACGGTCGAGCAGAGGCAGCTCATATTTGCTTCTTGTTTGCTCGAAATCTTTCAAATTTTGGTGGCATTGACGATCCCTCGGTCAATATTGTACTCGTCGGATCAGATCACCTCAAACAGCCTTACGAATTTGACAAAGAGATGGAACCTATCCTACTAAGTGAAGTGTTTGAATACGGCATGTCACTTTCCAGCGTCTCGAATGTAGCAGTCTCGAGTCCGCATCTATCAATCTACAAGATGCAACATGCTACGCTCCTTGCCGAATATGGGTATAGAGAAAAAGCCCTTCAATACTGCGAATCTATTGCTGCATCTATTACCTCTCAGACTCGAAGGTCACCTTACCATCATCCTTTGTTGGTATCCGCTTTGGATGACCTCAGTAAACGATTGAAGCAGTCTCCTAGAGAAGAGACTACTGGGTGGATATCGAAGCCTAGCATTGACAAGGTTTCCGGATCTTTAGGCTCCCTATTTAACAAATTTGTCGCTGGGGATGAAGATAAGGAGGGAGCAGGATCGATTGCTGGAAGCGGAACAGAAAGTGGGCCTTTTGCTAGGATTGCTGGTGGCACTCCGACAATTAGTCGCTCCCCGTCTACCACAGATATCTATGGATCCCATATCGGAGGACTGGGCATCAATGGCACTGCTATTGCCATCCCAGCTACCAGAGCTTCGTCAAAGTACGCCCCAAATCGAACTTACACACCGGAGCCTCTCACTGCTTCCTCTTATGGCTCCCGCCCTCGAAGTTCTTTGGAAGAGAGATCATCTAGTGAGCATCGAAGATACGAGCCTCAGCGCCAGATGTCACAAATGTCGGACTATCAACCTAACTCGCAACCGGCTCCAAATCATCATGTGCCGCAAGCGAACACAGGATATTCGCCTCAATCTGTCTATGCACCATCTAGCGGCTCACCATACGCTCCTCAACAAACAACCCCGATTACCGAACAACCACCTTCAAATATATATTCCTCGCCACAGCCGCTCGATAACTTTGGTGGACTTCAGCCTGCAAACTCGTATGCACCAGTCGAACCGTCCTCCCAACAGAACTCTGGATATGAACCTTCAAATTCTAGTGGCTATGAACCGCCAGCTTCTAGTGGTTATGAACCACCATCTGGAGGCTACGAACCCCCATCCAACAGTTATCAGCCTTACGAGGAGCCAGATTCTCCTGTTGACACCAAAGACAAGAAAAAGTCTTTCATGGACGATGATGATGATGTTCCAGGAGCATCCGCATCACAGGAGAAAACCAAAGCGGAAAAAGACCGGGAAGCGGACGAAGCTTTCCGGAAAGCCGCAGAAGCAGATGGTAAGCACAAACTTCCCCCTCTCCTTGCCATTACTAACAAATCCCACTAGCCCAAAAATCTTCTGCAGCACCCGCAAAGAAAGGCTGGGGCCTCGGCGGCTGGTTCGCTAAAAAGGAACCCCAACAAGACATGTCGCAACCCGGGAAACCCATCCGCGCCAAACTCGGCGAAGCATCGTCCTTCGTCTACGACCCAGATCTCAAACGCTGGGTCAACAAGAAAGGCGGCGATGTCGCGCCCACACCTACTTCTACTCCTCCACCGCCGCGTGCTGTTGGGCCGCCGAGAACAGCATCTGTGCCGCCTGCTAGTGCGCCTACGAGTGCGCCGAGGGCCATCCCGACCGCTATGAGGGCTACGAGTGATTATGGTGGGCCTACGGGAAGTCCATTATCACGGTCTGATGGGCTACCACCTTCAAGTCTGAGTATGGAGAGTTTGGTGCCGCCTCCCATGGTGCGGAGCGTGAGTAATGGGTCTGCGGCTGGTGGACCACCGACTGCACCACCTAGCCGGCCGAGCACCAGCATGAGTAATGCGAGTAGTATTGATGATTTGCTTGGTCCTGCGACGGGTGGATCGCGGAAGGGGACGACGAGAAAGAAGAAGGGGAGGGGGTATATTGATGTGATGGGCGGCGATAAAGGGTCGTCGTAGTGTGGAGTGGGAAATGGTATATGAGTTGAGGTGATCTCCGTATGTGGAATGGGACATGATTTGGGATGAGAGGATATTGGACGGAGTGTATATTAGATTCGGAATGGTAGGAGAGGGAGACTTAAAACAGTTGTAATTTGTATTATAGTTATATTCTGCGTTTATGAGCTCGCTGATAGCTTTTGGGAATGGAGATGACGAGCTTTCCGTCTTTTTGTTTGGATATAGGTGCTTCTGGTTGATGCTAGATCAATAGGGCTATACATAGATCCACGTATGAGCAAACAATAAAACATCAGGACATACTAGTTAGATTGGTAAAAAAAAAAAGAAGCAATATGTTTAGATTTAGAGGTAGAGGTGAAAAGGGGGACAATGCATGGATTTAAAATCCCTGCACTAAAGATTCTTCACCGCCTAGGGATGACGTGAACGTGCATGGCATGCATGGATGGCAGAAAATAAATATTTGGACGCGTCGACGACTTCATTCTGATAATTCTAACCTTTCCGCTCCATAATAGCAACTTCTTCATGAAATTGGCACGTCCGGCCATGAGGCAATGCCTCTCAAGGCCACCAATAAGTCCTTCCCGTGCCACCCATCTCCCACCTCCGATCTTCCATCGACTCCCTCCCCCCCAACCACCACCGTCCATTCAGCTCTCCACCACGCCGCCCTTCACCCAATTCAAAATGGATAATACGCGGCTGCGTTCTCGCAATACCCATACTATCTTACATCACATACATAAACATCTTCCCCCGCGTCCCGAAAATCTTTGATCCCCCGCGCTTCACGCCCTTCTCGATAATTAGGCGCGAGCAAGTTAGTCCGACGTGTATAATTCTTACGCTGCGGCCGAAGGCCGCGAGGAGTGTTGAGTGCGAGGATCCGTATGGGGAGGTTTGGGGGAGGGGGACGTGGAGCGTGGAGGTTAAGCAGCCGGAGCTGCAGATTGCGAGGGCGTATACGCCGTTGCCGCCAGGCGTTGGAGGTGGAGGTCTAGGGAGTGATTTGAGGTTTTTGATTCGTAGAGAGGAGAGGGGGGAGGTGTCGCGGTATTTGCATAGCCTGCAGGAGGGCGCGCAGGTTGATTTAAGGGGGCCCAAGGTAGAAGTTGAGTTGCCGGCTGAGGTGTCGGATGTGGTGTTCTTGGCTGGGGGCACGGGCATTGCGCCTGCGCTGCAGGTTGTGTATACGTTGCTGGAGAAGAGAAAGGGGGGTGGCGATAGGGATAGGCTGCCTAAGATCCGCATTGTATGGGCGAACCGGAAACGGGAGGATTGTGTAGGTGGTTATGGCGGAGATCATAATCCTCCTACAGGCACTGGGAACGGGAATGCTGCCCTTGGTTATATAGTCCGGGAGCTCCAAAGCCTGCAGGAGAAATACCCGGATAGCCTCCAAGTGCAGTATGTGGTTGATGAAGAAGGCACAATGTTGGACCAGAAACGAATACCACCGCTACTTAACACGCCACAATCTGACGCTAAAACCGTCAAGTACTCACCCGTAACAACGCGTATCGACTCGAAGCTACTGTTTGTATCTGGCCCCGAGGGCTTCGTGGACTACCTTGCCGGTCCCAAGAAATGGGAGGGCGGAAAGGAAGGGCAGGGTGAACTTGGGGGCGTTCTACGACGGATGGGGATTCGGGACTGGAAGGTCTGGAAGCTATGAATGAACTTGACTACATTCAAAGAATCGATTCTTTGTGAGTCAAGTAGGGATTCGATTGAGCCTGGGGGTTTGACGATAAAATACATCGGTTGAGCGGGCAAAGGCAAGGCAAGGCGGTGTCCTGCACCCGCCACAACACCATGCTCTCGGAGTTCTCCTAAGGGATACCTGTTGATACATGGACTTGTACCAAATCATTGTGTACAATACATCTCCTACCTTGCCAAAGTCAAAGCTACATGGACCAAGCTACCCCCTCACTCTTTACTCATCAATTTCTCCCAAAGGGACTTGTCTCCCCTCCTCCACTCCCCAACCTTCTCGCGGATACTCTCCTCGTCACCATCATACCACTCCCCAACCATCTCCCGCACTCTCCCTGACAGCTCTTTTCGCCGTTCCACCTCTTCCCCCATCCCGCCTTCCACGACGTCTTCCGGTTTATCCTCAAAAAGGTTCATCGCCCTCTCGAAACGCTCTTCCCGTGGTTCTGTCTCCAACCACTTCCCACCTTTCACCAAGCCATCCCGTCCGGCCTCAATAAGTTTCATCGCCACGGCAACCCTAACAAGATTCATCGCCGCCGCGCTCTGCTCATCCACACGCGCAAGTCTCCCCAAATACACAGCTACGCGCAGTCGTTCCTCGTCCGTATTCAGCATTCCCGACACCGTATAAGCATCATCAGCGATCAGTGGCCAGCGCAGCGCATTAGCTTCGCCTTCTAGGCACTCCTGCAACAGTTTTTCCATTTCCCGCACCAAGGATTTGCACTGGCCATCCAGTGCCGCGGCGTTGGGATAGCAAGGATAAGGAAGCTGCCATAGGCGGAGTTTCGTCGTCGGGGGCAGGATACTGCGCTTACCCTTTTGCGAATACGCGTTTTTTCTCGCTACGGCCAGAGCGGTCACCTTCTCTAGCACGATTTTACCAGAGGTCTGCCATTTCGCAAATTTGGAGCGCAGCGATGCTACGTCTGCCCCGAAGGTCGTCGCTTGTGTTGGCTGTCGCAGGTCACGGACGAATTCATCCCATATGTCTGTGTATTTTTCTTCGTAGTAATCTAGGAATAGCGAGGCGTGCGAGAGGATCATCCGGAGGATCTGGTCAAAGGAAATAGGGTTGCTGAGTAGAGAATCGGGATGTGGAGTTGGTCTGGCGTGGTGGATTAGGGCTAGTAGTGTATGCGTTCCCGAGCCGATATATCGGTCCATGCTTTTGTCAAAGATGGAGAGCCAGTGCCGGACTTCAGGGGTCTTGCGTATGTCGATGTTCATTCTCAGGGCCTTGTTGAAGGTTGCTAGGGTGGTTGGCGGGGCTATGGTGAGGATGATGTACCGGTTGAAATCTTCTAGTACTTTTTGGGGGAGGAATGCCGCATACGAGGTCACGAGAATTTGCCATACTCCTGGGCTGATTGGCATTGGTGGGAGATCGTCGACTGTTAGGTCTACTTTGTGTTTAGCCAGGAATAAAGTTACCCATTTCCGATGCTCCTTTTGAGAGAGCTCGAGAATGGGCAACATAAAGCGCGATACGAATTCAGCCTTCAAGTGCTTAAGTCCGGGATACCGCGATCCTCCGGGAGCTGTGAATATAGCGTTCAGAAGAAATGGCGGCTCTACAGATGTCTCCGGAAGCGTCCCCGTTTCTCGAGCTTCCTTCCAGTCCTCCGCCCGCGGTGGGCGATGCTCGTTGATGCTTCCCACGACGGATATAATTGTCTCCAGAGCCCCCATGATTTTCTCGACTAGAGGATCAGCTTTCCAGTCACTGCCAGCTCCACTACTCAGGTTGTTCAGCAAGCTTAGCAGGCTGTCGAGAGTCGCGAGACGGATATCTCGGTGCGTGCCAGCCTTGAATAGCTCTACCAACACCTCCACGGCCGCTTCTGCGGAGATGAACTCGGCGTAATTCAGAAGTTTAGCTAGATACTTGACAGTCGTGACTTTGACAAGTGATTGAGGTGGTGCCGATTTAGGAGCTTCCTTCTCGCCAACTTGAACATACGATTGCTCTTCCAACTTCTCGCCGATAGCAGTAGCAAACGCAAGAAGCATCTCCTGGGCTTCTTTAGCGGGAAGCGATTTCATGAATGATATCGATAGCAGCTGTCTATGCCAAGAACTTGCATCCGGTCGGTCCAGTATCGTCCGAAGTACAAGCTGTTGTGCCAGTTCTGGATTGTCACCCACCACGAGACGTTTCAAGATTTCATAAGATAGGCGCTCTAAGATATCATCTCCAGGCTGCCGATCTTGCTTCTTGCGCCTCTCGGTCCCGCTTTGAATCATAGCCTTCGTGGTAGCAGCGAGGGCTGGTGGATCGAGCGTGTTGAGAAGGGCTTTGATCGGCCCATAAGCTGCGTTGAGGAAATCGATGTTTACTTTTTCTAGCATTGCCAAAGTCCCGCCCCAGATTGCAGTATACACCTCTGCATCTGAACTCATGTGCTTTTGTAGGTCCTTGGCGAGATTGACGCGTTTATCGATTGCGGCGCCGAACAACGATGCTACACCGGCCCAATCAGCCTTTTGGAATGAAGGCTCTCGTTTCGCTATGCCCATAGTCTCGTGGAGAGTCATCAAGATATCATTTGCCTTTTTCACTCTTGATGCTACTTGGTCTAGAGTAATGTTGGCAGGCAACGGCTCAGGTATGCCGGATAGCAGCTCGATGCCCTCGCTAGTCGTCACCGCAATGCGCCCGAAAACCGCTTTCAGAGTAAGAGGATCACGGACGAAGCGTTGCTGCCAGGTGATTGTCTCACCGTAGAGCTCGAGACTTCCGCTTGCGATCGCATAAGCTGCAGCTGCATTTGCAAAATGTGCTCTGTCTGGCTGCTCCCTTGCAGTAGCTGACTTCTTCCGAAGCTGATCAACAGCTGCCTCGGCCTTTCCTTGCGTTTCTTGATCGTCCCGCAGTAATATGGTCAGAAGAAGAACGACGTTGAAGTTTTGCTGTGACTTGATGTCCTTATTCGCAAGAATTGAGCCCCGACCAGGTCCATTCAAGAAGCTATATTTTGGGTTTGCACGCTGAAGACCTTTCAGTAGTCGAATGGCTTGATCTTTGCTTAGGTGCTGTAATATATCGCTTGATGTCCACTGCTGCTTTGCAAGTGGCTCAAAGTCGTCGACTTTATCAATGTCAATTCCTTTCGTGGGAACGTGTAGACAATACAGTCGAAGCAACGGCCATCTCAATTCTGGCTTGAGATTCATATCTTTCGAAGTTCGAAAGAAATTCTGGCCTATGGTATACTGTACCCCACCTAGCTCCAGACGAAGGGCGGTGACAAGCAAGTCTTCGTAGGTTTCTGGGGTTCTGCTCCAACGACGGGCAAGCATAGACCAAAAGCCCTTCGATTGAAATGCAAACTTGAGCGCCGGCTTGGCCTCTAGTAATTGCAGGCCCATTTCAAAGACTTTGTGCAAATCATTCTCGTGCCATCTTTTTTTCAAAGCTCGGCGAAGGATAGAAAATAATACATCAGCCTCGGAGGTGGTGGTCGGCCAACGTTTATTGTTCATATCTTTCAGGCGACACTGCAAGACCTTCATCGCAAAGGCCATCGATGTTGAAACTTTTGGGGTTGGTCCAGGCCAGGGTGGTTGGCGGTATACGAAAGCTTCAAAGTATTGAGGAAGATGCTTGTCCTTACAGCCATTGCTAAAGATATACTCAAGTACACGTCTCTGTAGGAGGACTCCAAACGTCTTGATCAGACGTGTTGGAGACACTCGTTGATAGAGAGGATTTGACTCGTCTTGGGAATCTAGTAATATAGTGACAAACTCTGGCGAGCATGCCGGGACGATCTGAGCGTAGTAGTGCTCGATAGGTCGTTTGTCCCGAGTCTGCAGTTTTGACTTTGGGTAATGCGAGGGAAGCAGTGCTTGCAGCAATTCCTCGATAGCCTGCTCTCGCTCTTCAACTCTCTGGTAACCGTGATTGCAATGTCCCATTTCTCGCGAGAGGGCTTTCACTTCTGTGACGGAAATCGTTGCAAAGATGTCGATAAGACCCTTGGTGCCGCCTACTGCGCTCCATGCGGCTTGCCATTCTCGAGGGTCGCTCAGTGCTTTCCCAAACCGCTCGATGGCTGCCGCCCGAATGGAACGTGACGAGCCCTTCAGCATGCACATTGCAATGGATTGAGGAGATTCGGACCAGGACAGAAAGACATTGAATATTTGGGGTGTTACGTATTCGCTATCAGCGGCTCGAAGGAGTGACTGGCAGATTTGAAGGTCTGATTCATTTTGTCGGAGGTCGTTGAAATGTGATACAACGTCTTTCGACTTCCCATGTCGGATAAGAGATATGTCGAGCATGCTGTGCGCCATTGGGATTCGCGTAGAGAGTGTGTTTTTAAACGATGGACTTTACATATATACAGATTGACCAAACCAAATAACGAAGAGTCACGCCGGTGAGGTAGAGGTAGCTCGGCCTCAGCCTCAGCCTTAGCCTCAGCCTCAGCTCAGCTGCATCCCTTTTACGTACAGACTGACGCCAAGACATCTCAGATGATTACGCCACGTGATTGACAAAGAAGACCTTGTGAGCACCGACATGCAAAACCTGCATACCATGGCTTTAGCGAATAGAAAGAGCATACCAAACTCAACGGTGAACATGCTACCTTTAACCATTCGGGCTTCTGTTACAATATGGAATTGGAAGTATGCCACTACCCCTCACGTGACTTATATTCAGCCCCCTACCTAGCGCCAACAGGGTCTATAAATATCCATAGAACTTACCTAGCTCTCTCCCAGCTCGCTACACTTTCTAGTGAAAATCTTTATTAAGCTCGGCCTCGGCTCTGAACTTAAGGGACTCCAGCTTGCATATTCATCCTATGTAATGCCTTCTTAGAATACGACACGCTGGCAAGGTTTTAGATCGGTGCCGTAAGGATGCAGCCTGAAAAGAGTTTGTTTTGTCTGAATATACGCATATGCATGCCACGTACAAATATATCCTACTTTCTTTAAAATTACTCTGGATCTATGAGTATTTATTTCCCCCCTTTTTGTATGTCTTGAAACCCCTTTCACGAGTCTGTTTCAACTATTTTGATATAGTTCGCGGAATGCCAAGGAGCGGCTACAGTGCTTACAGATTATCATATTCTCATAAAGAGATTATAAACACAAGGATACGGCTCAAAAGATTTCGAATCATTCTCTGACTGTCCAACAGGTTGGCTAGCAGATTGACCGGGGGGGTGGGAACGCGCAAGTTCGCAGCTTTAGCTAGATGTTTAACCCAATTCCCAAGCTTAGACTTTCACACCCAAAGTCTCCAACAACTTCAACTTCTCTCTCTCCAAGAAACATTCAAGTGTACCAAGCTGTATCCCATACTCTTCAAAACTTGTAACCTCCTTTTCATAATCCAGCCTGCGCGGAATCATCTGCGTCTCGAGGACCGGGAACTTCCCCGAGAGGACGAGCGCTCTGGTCTCCTCCTGACTCCGATATCTGGTTCCAATCTTGACTCCCGAAACACGGCTGATGACTGCCACAATCTCATCAAACGTCAACACCTCCTTCACCAGCTCGATCGTCTTCCCACCAAACTTCTCCGGCTGCAAGAAAGCTGCCGCAGCAAACTTCCCCACATCTTCTGGATCCAAATGGCCTTGTCGGTATTCCTTCGCATAACTAACAGTCATGAAATGTTCCTTTGGGTACTCCGGAAAATACAGCAAGCAATATGGGGACAAGTACTGGTATCCCAACCCAGTTGGCCTCAATATCGTGACATGCTTGATCCCGCTCGCGAGCACGACATCCTCGACGCCGGCTTTGCTTCTGTAGTACCGTGCCAAGAATGGAAAGTCGCTCGTCCTGGCAGCTGTGAACTCCAGATTCTCTTTGCTCTTGAATACCGTGGACACGACGAATGACGTGACGGTTCCTGCTTCTCTAGCAGCGGTTACGAAGTTCTGCGCCTGCGGCACTTCGCCATCGGGGTGTTGGAAATCTGGGAACGTGTTGAGGAAGACGCCGGATACTCCTTTGGTGGCAGCGATTATGGAGGGTAGGTCGCTGTAGTCGCCTTTGAAGAGTGTGGCGCCGAGGGCTGCGAGGTTCTGCGCGGCTGGTGATGAGGGGTTGCGCACGAATGCGTGGATGCGGTGGCCGTGGGAGAGGAGTTGGCGGGCCGTGGACCCTCCTTGGTATCCTGTAGCTCCGGTGATCAGGTAAGTGGTAGGCATAATGGCAATGGGAGTTGAGATAATTTTCTGTAGGCAAGTCACAATAGAAAATGGTATACACTGTAAAAGAGGGACTAGAAATTCAAGTTTTAAACTCGATGGTTTGATCGAATTGTCAAAGAGAATGATAATCGGCTTTATATGATATGTTGAAGCACGCCTTATGAAAGTCACCATACTAGAACACCGACTATTCGGCGTTCGATTAATGTATGGTGGCTTCGTTAATTTGCTTACTTTATTTCCAATCAAGTCTCGGTGGCCTCAGTTAAGCTTTAAAATATGTTATTACACGGATGCCCATTTTACCCCACTTTAACGGGGGTAGGACCGTCTATACACATGTGTTTTTAGTCCTTTACAGGCTTCACAGGGCGAAATTATAGGCACGATTGTATTACTATTATGCGTAACCGTACTTCCCCTTGCCCCCAAAATGCGCTGGCAAAAGATCGGATCGGGCAGTATTTGAGTGGTGTAGTGTTAATATCATTATATTGCCAAATAAGCAGAATATCTAACAAAATAACCTGTCCATGCTGGTGTATCGGTAACATTTCCGCCTCTCAGTGTGCATCACAAGTGATCGCGGTAGCGCTGGGTTCGACTCCCAGGCATGGAACTCAGTTCCATGGGACATTTTCTTTTTGCTATTTTTTTGCTACCTTTGGCTAAATTATTGTTGCTCATTTTTATTTTAGTTTTTGTTTCTGGTGTTGCTTGCTAAAATAAAGTTCGTGGTTTGTGAGCGACGACATAAGCGAATACCCCCTTTTATTTGAACTACTCATCTTGGTACATAAGGTAGGTATACAAACGATGATTACAAGTCAATTCTTTAAATGTAATTTAACAAATCCAAAAATATTTCCAACTACTATTCCTATTCCTATACCTATTACTGTGACACAATCTTTTCTCATGGCGATAAATGAGCTGTTTGAACTATTTGTCAATATCACGTGGCTTCTTATCTTATCGGGCGAGCTGCATCGAATCGCGATGATCTTTGAGAAACATACAAACAAACGGAGCGCGATAGAGCTTCTGCACTTTCCTGCAGCACAACTTCCCACAATGCTGCTACGAGTACCATACGACTGAGCCGGCTCAGAATTCCCCAGCTATGGCCTCACTGTGGTCTGCAAAACCTGCAGACCCCCCCAAAGACGTGGCAGATGTTGCCGACACTGGCCTTGCAGACGTTGGTCTTCCTGCCCCTCAACCGCCAACGAGTGTTCCCATGGCACGGCCACAGCTCCAGAGAAACCAACCTCAGCCCCCCCCGCCTCATCAACCTCCTCCTCCTCCTTCGCCCCAGCAAGTCGGCAATCCGAATGACTCCCTTTCATTGATGCAACTCCGGCGCATCGTCACCGACTTTCCCAAAGCCGAAGCAGCCCCCTTTGCCTTTACGTACGCGGATACTGCGAGCTTCGAGGAAGAGATTGATGAGTGGTTTTCATACAACGAAGCAGAGTATAAGCGGTTGTTACGCGCAAATGATACATTCGTAAGAAGATGGAAGAAATTTGCGGGAATTCCATGGTTGGAGACAGAGGCAAGAAAACGAGAGAGCTTTGTTGAACGAGAGGTCAATGGACTATTAGCTACCGACCTTCGCGCCGATGTAAAAGTCTGCAGACGATTCTTCATATCATTCTAGGGGTATGGGACGAGACGGCTGGGATGAAGCCTGTGGAGGAAACAAATGCTCCAAAGAAAACCAGGGCTACGGAGTGTCATCTGGAGCACATGAAGTTCGGTATCCTGCTAGTCGCAAGAGCTGGTGGAATTCCTCTCTTGTACGAAGTTATGCAGAATGCATTCAAGCACCTTTGGTATGCAATCTAGCCGTAAATGATGGTCTATTACTGACCTTTTCTAGGGACGACGACTTCCGAGAAAACAAATTGACGGAAGAGGACATTCCATTCATCCAAGATGAACTTGACAATGTTACTACAATCATGTACCTTGTGATCGAGGGTGTTCGCAATGACCCTGTTACTCTGGAATATCCCCGGGGGAAGCTGCGTATGTAAATGATTTCCCCTTCAAGCACCAGCTAACATGTTTCCAGTTGGACTCAATCCGGGTATTGTTAACTACTTGGTGACTATTACTGCTCGTCTTCGGTGGGATGAAGCGAATGAACTACCCCAAACAAGAGTATGTCACAGTTTACCTTCGTGATCCAGCATCTAACTAATACAGATCTTTCTCCTTTTCTGGAAAGCGATACTTGTCGTCTTCGGAGGTGCCGCCGAAGTCGATGAGCTTAAAAAAGCAACTGCCGAGCTGAGAGATTCTAAAAGTGGTGCAGGCGAACTTATCACTGCCTCGCCCCTGGATTACCATATATTCCGCCAGGAAATTACTTCAAAATACCCCGCATATACCCCGCCACAACCATTACTTCCTCTTGAACCGGATAACAATTCCATCCTGCCACCACTTCCCAACCGACCAAGTAGGGCGAATGGTGCGAATGGAATAATACCACCTCCAATGAATGTCAATAGTAGTGGTGCTTCCATTCTACACCAACCTGTACATATTGCAACCCCAGCACCGTCGCCTCCACCTTCTCCACCAGTTGGTGGCAAAGCTGGGAAGAAACAGAATTATCAAACCAATCAGAATTTCCCATTCATGTATCCCCCGTTAGACAGCACCAGCAACAGTGCGGGAGGAAAAGGTGCCGCTGGAATGCAAGAAGTGCTCGTCGGTCACAGATGGGAAGGAAGCGATATCCCAAAGTCAATCCTCGAAGCCGGAGAACTGTTTGCCAGGAGGATGAGAATGACAAGGGCAATGCGTCAATTGTGGGATGAGCGAGAGCGCTTCCTCAAATTTGAGCGAGGATGGGACATTGAAAATGATGACATCGAGGAGCTTGACCTGGACACTATCCTTGCTCATAAGCTCTCGATGAAGGAAACGAAACGTATTAAGCCTGAAGTAGACTATGGACCAAATCCAGATATTGACAACAAGCTCAGAAAGAAGCTTGATCTCGTGGAAAGTTTCTACGTAAGTTTTGCCTTATTTTCCAATAGCTGATACTAATACTCACAGCGAAATTCTATACCACATTTACAGTCTCTCGTCATAGTACTCCTAAAGGCAGTCTTGGCGAATGTGACTGCACTTATTACCCAACCACCCCCTGGTCAGCCTCAAAGTGGTCTTGCCCCTGGCTTCAGATCAGAAGTGAACCTTCGGGTGAACAGTGCTCAGCAACAGCCACAGCGACCTCAAGACCCCGCAAACATTCCTCTTCCGACCAACGCAGACCAAGTAGAATTGCAGATTGATGAGATCGAAGCTTTGAGATCAAGGGAAATAACCGCAAAAGCAGTCTCTGGAATTCTTCTTATTCTTCTCAAGTGGTTCAAAGTCTCAAGTAAGTCTTGTGTAGTCACAGTTGAAATCACACTAATAATCTTAGACATTTTGAAGTTTGAGTACCTTACCCAGCTATTGCTCGATTCGAATTATCTCCCACTTGTTCTTAAGCTCTTTGCTCATCAAGAGATGGACAAGGTCGTTGTTAGCAAAACCGATCGTGAAGATATGAGCTTCTTCTCATTCTGCAATCTAAACAGCAAGAACGCACCCCTAGCAAACGATATCGAGCCCGAAGTAGAAAGCGAAGATGATGCCGCTCCCCCACCAATAAAGACCCGTCGCGAGCTCCCTGTAGCAGAAGTCGATGACAAACTCCCCGCCCTCGCATTCCAAGAAGGTCAACATGCAGGGAAGCGTGAAGTTGCAGAAGGCGATGAATTCAGTGGCGAGCAACCATCTGAACCCATCACCGACTTCTCATGGCGGAACTTCTTCTCCTCAATCAACTTCCTGCGTATCATGCAGAAAATCTGCAAAAATAAAGCACACCGCAACCTCCTCCTCGTCCAATACAAATCCTCCAACATCCTCAAGAAAGTCACGAAACCAGCCCAGCCAGATCTGCGACTCTATACCTTGAAGCTGTTCAAGAACCAAGTGCCCTACTGCGGTCGCAAGTGGCGACAGGGCAATATGCGCATAATTACACAAGTGTACCTTCATTGCCGGCCTGAACTTCGCGATGATTGGCTAGCGGGAAGTGATATCGACGCTGAGGTTGAGGAAGCGCTGCCCCTGGAACAAGCGTTACGCGCGCTCACGCACTGGCATAACATAAAACGGTATCCGGACCAGATGGGTGCGGACACGAAGCTGCTAGAGGAGGAACATGATTTCTTTGTTAGGGAGCTGGATAAGATGGCTTGGTTGGATGATGGATTTATGGATGGTGAGAGCGTGGCGGATGGTGCTTGGGATGTAAATGGTTGGTGATATAATGGGTATTATAAGATCTTACAAAGAACCTTAATGATACATCCAGTCTGTGTGTATTTCTCAACATATTTCACTCTCTTTTCTCGCGCTGTGAGTATAGGCTACGTGCATGAAGATGTCGTTTCAGATGAAGTTATACTGCATTACAATATACAATCCTCAATAGTGGTATATTCCGAGTTGTCATCTCAAGCCAAGTGCCTCATCTGTCTTATGAGAAGTCTCCTTATCCTTTATAAGATCAATACTATAACCCTTCAAATGCTTTTCTCCCTTCTTCTATCCATCAAATACGTCAGCCATTCAAACACCACACTTCTTTCCCCTCCCCCCTCCCCCCTCCATCCATCCACTCCATCAATCATCATCACCATCAAGCCTTAAAATCATCCCACCACCTCCCCCCATCACCAACATCCCCCTCCCATCAAAAAGCACGCCCTCACTCCTCAAAAGCCCCTCCTTCACCTTCCGATTCACACCCGATGGCGCATCTTGCGCCTCGCCTTTAAACCCACCTATTGCCTTTTCTTACACATCACCGTTAGCAAAATATACCCCATTCTTCACAGGCAGTATTATATAAAAGCGAAAGGACACCGAATATAAGAGACGCGTAATTGTAATCATAAGCCACGCACCCCATCTGCGCAGATAATCCGATGGCATGGCACATCCGGCACAAACGGATTCCGTCTTAACGCTCCGCCTACGGCGCGGGGCGAGGACGCGAGAGCGCGCGAGAGGGAGGCGTAGGAGGAGACTCTCCCGCGGGGGATTTGCACGAGGAGGGCGTATACGCGCTGGTGGGGTTGAGGGGTTAGTGGTGTGGTGGGTGGGAGGATGGGATATCTCACTTCTTGGTATTCCGTCACGGCCATTTGGCGGTAGGTGTTTCAGTCGTGTGGTTATCTCGGGTTGTTGTATATATGATAAAAGTGTAGTGTCAATGCTTCTGTACTAAATTCGGGAGCAATCGGAATTGGAAAGATGAGAAGTGAAGTGAAGTGAAGTGAAGAGAAGATAAGTCGAGAAGATGTTAGAAGCGAGCTTTCTGATTGGTCAATTCGGGAGCAACACTCGCTCGAGTCACATTTGCCACCTTTGAACTAGCATAATTATCCGTGTCGAGCTTCTAGATGCATTTATTGCACACATATAACCTATGTCCAAATAAATACTGAAACTTTGAACACGAGCCGTATAGCTGTTAAGAGGCCTTCTGCAGAGCTATATACCCAGAGTCTCAGACAATGGCAATCAATACTTATTTAATACAATAAATACGGCATGAATAACACATTTCCTCGGCTGGAGCGAGCTATACACTTTTGCAAATCCACGAGAGAGTACAGGTTTATAAGAAACTTACCTCTACGTCCAGCTGCCTATTCCAATCAAGTCAAAAACAACTCCCAACCAACCTCGGCTCTTACTACTACAAAGCGATCTGGGGCGCTATATTTTTCTATAATTTACCCTTTTCTTCGACTCTAGCCCTTTCTTTTGTGTTTATTCTTACATGGTAAAGTAGGATGGTATTTAGACTGGCTTCCTCACTCTGAGGCAGGACAGTTAGGTCGGAGAATTTGGGTGACGAACTCTTTCCTCAAGCGACCTCCTGAAGTTGCGAAAACTAATACGGTTCTGATAGCCCCCTCCCAAGGCCTGGACGTATTCCGTAAACGGTGTTTTGGATTAAGTGTGAGACTGGGTCTAGAGTGAAGTGAGTCTTCTAGAGCTCAAGATACCAGCCAGTTTACCCCTTGGATTATACCCAGCTAAGTATAACAGTTATCATTACCGTTGAACTCATTGTAAAGTGGGGTTTGTATTTGGTGTTCAGGAGTAAATCTATCTAAACCATATTCTCTAACAAGTAATTCGACATCTCGAGATCCAGGTCCGAAAAATCAAGATCCAGTAGCTGATTATCATACGAATCCCCGGCTAATGGCATACCTTCAATGGACGACAACCAGTTCCCATCAAGGTCCGGATCCAGCGGATATTGAGCTAAGGACAATTCCCAGCTCCCCGTAGTAGCGAGTCCTTCCGAAACCAGAGCATCGGGTTTGGGAATCATCGGATTAATGGTCTGTGTTGCGGGCAATGGGAGTGGGATTGTAATGTCTTCCGGGGATGTTTCTTGTGCATGCTTGAGCTGGAGCTGCTTTCTGTACTCCCCAACAGTACACCCCATAACCTTCTTGAAAACCCTACAGAAATGACTCTCCGTCACCCCGCACTCCCTCGCCAAATCCCTCACGCTCCACTTCCCCACCTCCACCTCCATCTCTAGCTGCACACCCACACCCACACCTAGTCCTGCACTCCCACTCACACCCTCGTTTTCAATCAACCCGCACGCCTTCGCCACCAATACCTTCTGCCCATCCCCTGGAGATCCGCCCTCCACTTCCGGTCGACATCTCTTGCAAGGCCGGAACCCGGCAGCGGCCGCCTCGGTGCACGAGTCGTGGAAAACGATATTTGCGCGCCGTGCGAGACGCGAGGGACAGGTTGGGCGGCAGTAGATCTTGGTGCTGAGGACGCTGTAGATAAACGCGTCAGAGGCGAGGGGGTTGCGGGATGTGAGGGCTGCCCAGCGGGATGTGGGGGTGGAGAAATGAGCCATGTGCAAAGTAAGTTGGATAGGTTATTAGGATTGGGGAGTGGTGGTGGCGGTTGGATATGGCCTTTTACATTCTAGAAGTGAACTTCCTTCTTGCAAGACAAGGAGAGATGGGAAAGATGGGAAAGCGATGAAGTTGTGGAAGTTCCATTGCAAAGGGGCGGGAAGTCTAGATTACTAAGCAAGCGATCTAAGCGACCTGCTTTGGAAGTAACCAATGAGATCATCTCGCCTCCCCTGATTCGACTTGGCTTGGCTAGAGGAAGGGAAGTAGTACGACCAGAAGGAGAAAGAACTTACCTTGTGTTTTGGTATTCTGCTTTGTGATTTGAGCCTGTGGGTGCTTAACAAGGCTTCCTAGTCTATAAAGGCGCAGTACCCAAATGGCCTCGCTATATTCAGGTTTTCACGGGCTCTATTTGCTCTATATCTCGTAAAGAAAACTAGTGATCATTTCCGTAGACCTTAGCCCCTGGACTATCGATATCATAAAAGATTAGGATTTGTTTTTTGGTCTTTGTAATAGCTTGATTAAGAATTAGTATATGTTATTCTTTCATTCGTATATATTGAAAGTACATCTTGAAGCATTAGGGTTTGATTTGATCCTAGTACTTGGTGTTGCCAAGAGATGCAACGAAGCGCACAAGCACTTAAGAGTTACATTTCCTCGTATCAGACAAAGTAAAAGGGTATTTCATATTCCGCCAGCGCAAAACAATGCTATGTATCAAACTCCTGCAATGCCTCCTAGAGTCCTATTTCCCCGCGCCATCCAAACATCCCAATACCCTTCATTCTAATTCATACAACGCTTGACGTCGACATTCGGGACACATCACGTTGCAAAACAAGCAAGACTCAAGTCTTCCTAAACAATCTCTTTGTCCCCCCAGCCCTCTCCATCTGCCCAAACTCTTTATCCTTTTCCCTGCGTTCCTTCTCCGCACTAGCTTGCCGCACCTTCTCTTTCATACTCTCTACCCACTCTTGATCCCTCTCGCTAATTGCGACTTTCTTGCTCTTCGGTCCCGCCAAGCCAAGGGAACTGTCGTCTTCGACCCAACTCGAGCTCATGCGTGAGCTGCTACGCACCGGGCCGCTTGGAGGAGTTTCGTTAAACACGGGACGATTCATCATTGGTAATGGTGTGCTGGGACTGCGAATATCACTTTCCCCCATACTCATGCGCGTTTTTCGGAAGTTGAGACTAGACATCGGACGATCGAATGCAGATACGGGGCGGGACTCGGAGAGTGGTGTTGAGCGTCCATTGCCATTTCCTCGTACTGTCGATGCCCCGGAAACATTACGTGAAGAAGGTAAGTCCTGGATCTCGATTTTATCTTTATTGGCATTGCGTCTTCCATGATGACTTGCATATTCTTTTAAATACTCCCCGAGATCAGCCCACCCCCCTCCAACGCGCACCATGACGCGCTCGCCATTTTCGCCAACGAGGCGCACCAGCAGTTTGATTGGGGCTTCGCCGTTCGAGCGAGAGAGGTGGTACAGCTTTGTTTCTGGAGCGCCGTTTTGGGGGCGTGGGCGCGAGCGATTTTGGCTTTGATCGGGAGAGAGAAGGAATGAGGGAGTTGGGGCGCGGGAGTAATTGCTCATGCTTGAATGGGAGCGTAGGGATGGGGTGACGGAGCGACGGGTTTTCTTTAGTCGGAGGGTGTTAGCTTGATGCGCGTCTGGTTTTGAGGTGAGGCGGATCTTTGTTGGAATTGAATCCAGGATAGAGCTGATTTGCTGCTCCAGCTGGTCGCTGGACGTCTTTGTGGGACTCGCATCCATAGATCTGTCGGCGGATACTTGTACGTTGTCAAATATTGGGGCATCCGTCGAAAGCGAAGAAGTGTCAGATAGATCCGAAGTTGAAAATGACGGGGCATCTATAGACAAGGAGGACGTGTCAGACTGGTCCAAGATTGAGAATGTTGGGCTCGTAGGTGAAGGTAGGGAGCCTCTTTTGCGAATTGCTCGGATTGGGGCCGGCGACCCGGGAGGACTGTAGTCGTGAAAATTATTGCGTAACCCTACTCGACCAGCACTTGGCGATTCTGGTTCGACTTCAGGGAAGGATTCGCGCTCAGCACTAAGAGGTGATGAGGGAATCATAGGGGTACTGGCACTGCCCTCAAAACCCGTCACAATGGTAGGGGTTTCGGATGAGCTGCTATGCGGACGAGCAAGAGAGATGAGTTTGATGCCAGTGTCGATTGGGCTTGGTGAAGCTCTGCGAGCAAGGATGGGAGTGCCAATATCACAAATCTGAGAGTTTTCCAGACTATCCTCGGTGTTGCCTTCCATTTGAACTTCCACGGCATCACTTGCATCGGACATTGACGGCAGAGTGATCGATTCCTGCGATGAAAGAACATCTCCCGCTCGTCTTTGAGGAGTGGAACTTGACATCTCTTCATCCTCATCCAAAGTAGAGAACGAAATTTCCCCCGCATCGCTTACAAATGTCCTTGAAACTGTGGGAGTAGCTGGTTCAGAACCCTGAATAGAGAATCTTGGGCTTTCAATTGGAGAAAGTGTAGGACGGAAATACTCGGCTGGCTCGGCTTCCATGATTTCTGGGGTAGCTTGCGATATTGAATATCCCGATACAGAGGAATTCCTACTATGATGTATAGACAATATACTATCGTCAGTTTCAACAAGCTCAGAATCCCCTGTTTCACTTGACGCAGGTATATTTTCCACAAACTCAATATCTTGTCGATGGTCAGTGAGAGCATTTGCCAATATCGAATCTTGACTTTTCGTCACATTCCCAACTAATGGTATCTCAGACAGTTCGTGAGTTTCCTGAGCGGCCGTAGGATCATTAGGAAATACATCGGCTGGTGATGTTGGGGTGTGATCGGCGTTCATGCAGAAATAATTGGGCGCACTGATAACAGAAGACTTCGGAAAATCTGGTGATTTCCTGGATGATTCCTTGGTTGGGGTGCTGGGTAACGAGTGACGAACGAACTCTGCATAGGCATGGCCAAGCCGCAATTTGCTTTTGGGGGTCGAGGGGCTGCTTCTGTCCTGAATAATCCGATTGTCGGCCGGAGCAGTCCTTGGCGATTTACGGGTTTGCACTGCATCATTACTTGAGGGCGAAGACGTTCGAGGAGTCTGCAACAGATTTCCGAGGCTGTTTACGGGAGGGATGCTAATGTTAGCTGGTCGAGAAGTCTTGTTTCCTGCGTTGCCATTTTGACCCGGTTGCAATACCTGATTCTGGATGGCAGGGACATTAGAAGCCACGGGATGAACATCGGAGCTGCCATCAAATGGAGCAAACTTTTCTAGCTGTGAAGCAAAGTCGCGAGAATATGTGGACTCGTTGGCTTCCGAATCTGTATCAATCGAAGGAGTATCAACGGTAGAAACTAGTCCTGTTATAGAAACTGGGGGCGTTTTTAGTGCAATGGGCTCTTCATCTCTTTGGACAGTCTCTGTAAATGCTGGTTGATTCTTGGCAGCTGCCGCATTCACGGAATCTTCGTTTTGTCGGTCCACTTCGGCCTTGGTATCCCTCTCGGCAGCTTCTTCCTTCTCGGCATTCACAATAGCTTGTCGTCGCGCTATTTCAGCATTCTGTGCATTCAATTCTGCTTGACGTTGAGCTGCTTCCCGGGTTTGTGCTTCCTCAAAAATCCTGGCAGCTTCTTCGGTGTCCCTCCTAGCTTGCTGCTGAGAGAGTTTCTCAGCTGCTTCTGCCTCTATTCTCTTGGCATCTTCCGCATCACTTTCTTCCTTGCGTCGAGTAGCCTCCAAAGCTTGCTCTTCCTCGAGTCTCTTCGCATCAGCAGCATCTTTCATGGTCTGTTGCCGAGAAGATTCCGCAGCATCTTCAGCATCCTTTTCGGTTTTGACTCTGAGCTCCTCCGCAATTTGCTCTGCCTTTATCCTCTCATCCTCGGCCTCCAGCTTCGCTTTCCGTCGTGCTGCATCTGCAATAAGCTCTTCCTGGAGTCTCGTTGCATTTGCGGCATCTTCGTCAGCTTTTAGCTTTGCTGCTTGCTCTTCTGCTAAAATCCTAGCAGCTTCCTCATCCTGTTCGGCCTTGAGTCTAAATTGCTTTAGCCTCTCATCCTCGACATCCTGTTCCGCCTTTCGCCTTGCCACATCTGCAATTTGCTCTTCCTGGAGTTTCCTTGTGTTTGCGGCATCCTCGTCAGCTTTCCGCTTTGCCGATGCAATGGCTTGCTCCTGTGCTAGCATCCTAGCAGATGCCTCCTCCCTTTCAGTCTCAAGTCTCGCTTTCTCAATGAGTTGCTCTACCCTTAACCTCTCATCATCAGCATCCTGCTCTGCTTTTCGCCTCGCCGCTTCAGCTGCCAGCTTTTCTGCTAATATCCTTGCATTCGTGGAATCTTCCTCAGCTTTCCGCTTTGCCGCTTCAGCTA